AAAAATATATACTATGATATCGAGTTCTAAGAAAATTATTGCTATTAAAAGAATTTTAAGAAAAAATACCTTGACTCATGGATATGTGTTACAGCCAACTCTAACCGTGACAATTACTTTTGCTGCATCTGTATTACCTGAATATCTGGATATTGGAGGTTGGCGCCACAATGTCACTCCATATATACCACCAGTTAAACAATGCTACCGGTGCTTGAGGTATGGACATTTAGCTAAATTCTGTAAGAATTCTGAGCGTTGCAGCATCTGCAAAGGTGAGCATAATTATAAAACTTGTACAACTGGAATGGAAAACGCTATTTGTGTACACTGCAATGGAAATCACACAAGTGTATCACCGCAATGCCCTGTTAAACAAAAGAAAATTGCTGAAAATAGATCTAAATTCAGACCTGCTTCTTTTGGAGATATACTTAGCACTGAAATATTTCCTAAACTGGGTAACAAACCTAAAAAAAATGTAGACCTAATTTCAATTCTAAATTCTGATAACAAGAGTTTATCACTTTTAATAGAAAGCATAATCAAACTTATTTCACTACATAACACAAAGAACACATCTATTAACACTAAAAGTGTTTTGAATGTGTTATATGATACTTTTGGTAATAGACCTATTTCACAAAATTCAATCGAGACCAATTAACTATCATACAGTGGAACGCTCAGAGCCTACTGAGCAATCGACATATTTTTACACAATTTTTAAATGAACATCATATTCACATTGCTCTCATCTCAGAAACTTGGCTAAAACCACATTACAAATTAAAAATTAAAGATTATTGTATAGAACGAAATGATTGTGGTAACAACCACAATGGAGTAGCGATTATTATACATAATAGTATTAGATATAAAAAACTTCACTCTTTTTTCGACAATTCTTTGCAAACTATAGCTATTAGTATTGAAGTTAATAATTCTTGGTATTCAGTTGCCAGTATTTACTGTCCTACCAATAGTACACCTAGTTTTACTAAAGCCAAATTTAAGTTCTTTTTGGAGTCTCTTCCTAAACCCACTATCATATCTGGAGATTTAAATGCACATCATACTATGTGGGGTTGTACCTCCACTAATACAAGAGGTAAAGACATTCTTGATTGTTTAGATGAATGTAATTTGGTACTATTAAATGATAAGCAAGTTACTACTGTTGGCTCTCATATTTGGAGACCCAATGGCCTTGATTTAACTATGGTATCCCCATCCATATCATTAAAATGCGAGTGGTCGGTTCATGATGATCCGTTAGGAAGTTATCACCTGCCGACTTTTACTAAAATAAACACAAAGAACTCTTCATCAACTCCGTCAGGTGAACAACATGCTCCTATAGATGAAGTTAATAAACTTTTGTTAAATCGTATAAACCTACGTCTCGTTAATTGGGATCTTTATTCTGAAACTGTTAATCAATTACTTTTGGATTTCGAGTATGATGTCAATGAACCCTTAAACAATTACAATAGATTCTGTAAAATTATTTTGACAGCTGTGGAACGTTCCGTTCCACGTAGGAACTTATCAAATAGCGGTGCAAATACTTCAAAGAGGCACAAACATATTGCAGTACCTTGGTGGAATAACAGGTGTGCGACAGCTGTCAATGATAGTAAAGCGGCTTACCTTAGGTTTAAACAAAATCCAACTCTCGATAATTACATAAATTTTAAAAGAGTTCAAGCTGTTAAAAAGTTAGTAATTAAGCAAGTAAGACAACAGGGGTGGCAGGAATTTTGTTCCAAATTTAATAGATTAACACCAATTTCCACTGTTTGGCAAAATATGAGAAAACTAAATTCAAAACATCGTCAAAATCATTTTAAAGATATATCATGGGTCAATGATTTTTTACGCAAATATACTCCTGATTTTGTACACTCACCTTTTGATGACAAACAGTTTAATTCTGTTAATTCATGCCCAAAATTTCTCACTGACCCATTCTCAATTGATGAAATATCCAGTGCAGTAAAATCTAGAAAAGATACAGCTAGTGGCCTTGATCGCTTAACATACAATATGTTTCGATTGCTGAATAAAATAAACCTTACTAAACTCTTACAAATTTTTAACGATTTATGGAAGGACTGTATTATCCCACCAGAATGGAAAATGGATTGTTTGATTCCAGTAATAAAACCCGGTAAAGATCCTACAAATTTCGACTCCTATAGACCTATAACATTGACGTCCTGTGCAGGCAAATTATTCGAACAATTAATTAAACAGCGTTTAGAGTTCTTTATTGAAAGTAATAGTATATTACCATCGAATCAATTTGGTTTTCGCCGTGGATATTCAGCGCGCGAAAGTTTAGCGAACTTCTATGTCGACCTTAGTACTGCTTTGAATAACGATGAATATGTTCTATCTGTTTTTTTAGATGTCGTAGGAGCTTTTAACAATGTAAATTTAACAGTTCTATCTTCGATTTTATCCTCATTTCTTCCAATGAAACTTATCGAATGGATTTATAATTTTCTTAGTAATAGAGAAGTGTATGTTAAAGTAAATAGTAAATTAATAGGACCTAGGTTAAGCTCTAAAGGAGTATGTCAAGGTGGTATTCTAAGCCCGCTACTATATATTTTATATATCTATAAACTTAATTCAATTTTAGGAAACAGTGTGAACAACTTGCAATTTGCCGATGATTTATTAATTTATATAAAAGGAAAGAATATTATTGATATGCAATTAGTGTTAAATGAGTCATTAAAAAGACTTGAGAAATATTTTTCTCTTCTTTCCCTCGATATTAGTTTAACCAAAAGTAAAGTAGTTGTTTTTCATCAAGTTCATAAATATGTTCCATTAATGAATATTATATATAATAATCAAACTCTTCCAACAGACTGTAGCGTTAAATTTCTGGGGGTAATTTTTCATCAAAATTTAAAATGGGATCTATACGTTGATTGCTTAGTAGATCGTGCTTTAAGAGCCACTAATATAATAAGATCTGTAATTGGTCGTAACTGGGGAGCTGATCCTAAAATTATCCTTTTACTTTACAAATCTCTTGTTAGAAGTAATTTTGATTACGCTTTCTTTTGTTATGCCTCAGAACATAAATTAGTAGAAAAACTCGAAAAAATTCAAAATATGAATTTAAGACTTATTTTAGGTGCTATGTATACTTCTCCAATTATCTCAATGCAAGTAGAATGTAATTTGCCTCCTATCCTTCTTCGTTTCGAATACCTAAAACTCAAATTTCTCTTCAAAGTTTTTTCAGTTTCCAATAACCCACTCATACTCAAATTATTAAATTGCCCCATTTCTATGTTTTTGAATAAAACTATTGTCAATGATTTGAATTTACGAGATGAATATAACATCTATAGTAGTAAGATACATCCTTGTTATAATGGCCTTTATGAGAGTAAGTTCTGTAAAATCAAAATTGTTATACGTAAAGACATAAAAGAAAAGCACGATATGTATGAGACTTTATCAGAATTTATTGACTACAGGCAGATATATACAGATGGTTCCAAAAATGCACTTAGCACTTCAGTGGCTTTTTACGATTTGTCAAATAGATTTGGTCACGGTTATAAAATTTCAACTTTGGCTAGTATTTACACAGCAGAAGCAAAAGCTATATTTTTAGCATTAGAATACATAGAAAAACAGGTACTATATTCGAAATGGATTATAATTACAGATAGTATGAGTGTTCTTATGGCATTAAAAAATAACACATTCATTTCATCATCAAACTACTTAATTCAAGAAATTCGTAATAAATATTATCATCTCTGTACTATATATGGAAAAGATATTATCTTCATCTGGACCCCTTCACATATTGGAGTGTTTGGGAATGAACAAGTAGACACTTTGGCTAAAATTATTAATTCAAGTGCTGCTCGTGTTCAAGATTTACCCCTTTGTTACTCAGATTGTAGTATTGGAATACATAAAATCGTTACAACTAAATGGGAGGAGCATTGGACTCAAATATTACAGACTAAAGGCAAATGGTACCGCAAAATTAATTGGCGTATTGGAAAACCGTGGTTCTGCAAAGGAAAGGACACAAACAGAAAATTTTACACCAATATTTGTAGATTACGAATCGGCCACGGACATTTCAACGAACACCTGCACCGAATGGGCATGATCGCTTCCCCATCATGCACATGGTGTAACTCAAATACAGCCCAATCTCTACATCACCTTTTTTTTTGATTGCTCTGAATTTGTCATTCAAAGACACATTATGTTTGACGAACTTAGGATTATCTTCAAAAAACCCGAAAATATCCCGCACTCAATCCCGCTTCTCTTAAGATTTCCTTCTTGTTTCAAAGCTATTTTCACTTATATTACTACAACATTCAAGGAGCTATAAGAATACTTTTATTGAATTGCAAGACAATGATTTTTTATAATTATTTATTTTTAATTTGATAAATCCACTGGTTTAAGAAAACTCAAGAAAAGATATTTATGAAAATGTACTTACCGGATTTGACAAATGAAATATTGAAGATTATGACAATAATTGAAGCGACATTAGAAAAATAAAATTCCAGACAAATTATCTTTTTGAAGACTAGGCAGCATGGTCTCCGACCTTAGCCTGTTCCAAACGGAACAAACGTACTAAAAAAAAAAAAAAAATTAGTATGACAATGACATCGATATGACAAATTGTTTTTAGGAGTTGGTATTGTTTAGTAAAATTATTTTTAATAAGCTTCTTAAAAACAAGACAAAATATATACAGCCGTATCCGTTTTACAGCGATAAATTATAATAAGATAAACCTTTAAGTAGTTATCATTCATATATTTAATATATGAATGATAACGATGATATCATAAACATTTAAATTTATTAAAAAAATTATAGTATGTTAGCACTTAGGTTAACACTGTCATCTAAATGTCAAAGTTGTTACTTTATGAATATCCATTTATGGGCATTTCTATACTCAATACATTACCAACATTGCGAGATAAAAGAAAGATACGTCACTTTTTAGGGAGGCTATGGAATACTAGCGGCTGTGTGTTTTTCTATACAAATTGAAAAGTACTGAATAATTGTAGATATAATATATTAGTCACTATAGTGTTTAATTAGTAAAGTATAAGGACAATATGTCGTATTCTAATAGTAAGTTTTGATTAGTTGTAAAGTCGTCAGGAGCATGACAGCAAAACGGTGCTTCTGGGTGATAATTTAGTTTCTTTCTTTTTTTTTAATATTTGTCAGTGAAGTGGTTTACTGTTTGTGTCCGCAGAATATATTTTTGCGGCCTTGCCGCGTACTCAGCGTGGTACACCGCTAGTTTTAGGCGGGGACCCGAAAGGCAGAAACTTCCTGTATACCAATGGGAATTCTGTTATAATCAGAGATATTGAGAACCCTGCTATCTCCGATGTCTACACTGAGCATTCGTGTCAAGTAAATGTAGCTAAATATTCTCCAAGTGGATTCTATATTGCATCTGGAGGTAGGTTTAGGTTATATTAATTAATGTATTAATTTATAGGGTACACAAATTATATTTACTACATTGACGGAACTTTTTACTTTCTACCATTAATTGAGAGTCTAAATTGCTGTATAATGAATAGCTAGAGGCTTGTTGTCTTGCCTACTAATATAAGTTAGTAGCATAAAGTATATTTGTTTTAAATGGAAATGTTTTAAGAATGAGAAATATTTTCTTTGCACTTTATGACTCACTTTATTATTCATAGAATATTTTTTTTTAACTTGTTCTACATTTATATATCTAACCTCATATAAAAATATCTGAATCCTAATTATAGTTATAATAGTATACTTTATTAAATTTCTATAAAATTATAAATCATAATTAAATTTCTAAATAACCATATTAATACAAACTAATTTAAATTATAACTAAGGTAAACTGCTTAGCTTACATAAATTAGGATAAATGTATTCTATCTATATATTAATTCAGGATATGATTTATATCTCTGTACCAAATTTATTTTAAATATATTTGACTATTTCAGCATGATTGACTAACAAACATTTAAATTTATTTTAATTTGCTTTTACTCATGACTTTGCCCATGTGAATGGGTTTATGTTTACTAATCAGGATAAAAAAGCCTATGATATCCATCTCATATAGTACCTAGACACTAAATTTCATAGTGTTAGGTTAAGATGCAAGATAATAAACAAACAAACAAAACTTTCACATTTATAATATTAGTAGTTATTTATGTGTGTCATAATGTCTCCCACTGGAATAGATAGAAATAATGGAAGCTTCCCATATAAAATGACATCTTTTTCTACCTCCATATTCAACAATCTATTTATATAAGTTGTTACCTATTTGGTTCTGTTATTAAAATAATTTTTGTGTTGTTATATTATAAAACATTTATTTCTTATCATCAAGTTTATGATTTGAAATGATTGCCACACCTATCGATAATATGAAATGTTATTTATATTAACTAGGTGTTCACCATAGCTTTGCCTATATAAAGTATCCTATGTGTAAAGTTAGGATATAATCTACCCATGTATCAAATTTTATATAAATCCATCCAGCCTGATGCAATTATTGAGAACATGATTGAGTAACAAACATACAAACATTATTACAAATTTTTACATTTATAATGTTAGTAAGATTTTTTCAATTTCTATCTATTGATAGGGTATTGGTGATGTTTTAAGAGGGACGCTGCTGTCCATTCTTTTGCCATAAGCTCCCATTGTCACCTTTTACAACACCCACGAGGACCGCTCGGACCTATATCTAATAGCAAGGATGGGATGCCTAAACAAAGCATCTTTAACACCCAAAAAATAAGTCACCCAGATAGATAGGGAAGGAAGGGATGGCCTATTATATGCTGGGACCTATATAACTTTTTTCCTGTAGGCGACAGTAACCACTTTCCATCATCTGGGCCATCAGCTTGTTTGTTATTCTAAGTTGTATAAGAAAGCCACATAGGTTGTGGCTAGGTTACGGTAATTGCTTACCATCAGGAGGCAGTATGTTTGTTACTAACATTAGTGGTATAAAAAATAGATAATGTTAGCTTTATTTTTAAAATTAAATACTAAATTATTTGAGGGAGACTTTGTACAAAAGTCGATTGCTTGGGTACCTCTGTCCCATTCGTGTTTCTACCGTGGAGCAGTTGTGTTTGCATGGCTGTGTTTCGGTTTGAAGGGTGGGATATGGTGTGAATTTACAGGGTATAGAGGAATAACACCTGAGCCCTCAGGAATGGCAACGCATGGGGGTTATCATGAGCGAAACAGTATACTCTGTTATGTCCATGGTACTGCTCATGTCTATAGGCGACGGTTACCACTTTCCATCAGGTGGGCTGTCAGCTTGTTTGCCATTCTAAGTAGTATAAAAAAAATTACTATAAATTACCACAATGTAGTTATTTATTACTTAGCTCCTAGTTATTTGAGGAAATTGTTTTTATTATTCCTTTGACGACCTCTTTGCTGTAGCGGTAGGCATGTTGCTTTGCGTAATGAGGACTTTGATTTCCGGTCTGGCCAATTTTAGGAAACGAACTTTTCTATATTGGTCTGGGTATTCTTTGATTATGACCCCAGATGGTCCTTGCTTGTTTCCTCATAACCCAGGGTATGCTGGCTTCTGGGGGATGTGCTTATATACCGGCGCATCCCCTGAGTAGTAGGGTAAGCACGCCATCCACGCTATCTCGAGAGAGGAGACCTGCTCTTACCATCAGGGGGCGGGTCGCTGCCGTCGGAGATGTGGTGAGTGCGAAAGCGAACCCATGTCTCCGACATATGGCACCTCGATGGTATATCGTCTGGTTTTTGGTGGGTACACCCTCACCTTACGGGGGGATTCCCACAGTACCCATTCACCTCCCACAAGGTGTATGGGTCTGCATAAAGCATTTTCCAGATGTTAAAAAAAAAAGGGTATCCTGGCTTATTATTAAATCATTCATAATTATTAATTTTTATAAATAATTCTTTTGCCAAAGATATCAGTTAATATTGCCGTGTGGTTCCAGCATAGATTAGGCCACCTCTTCTATTACCATAGGTGTCGTAAGAGGTAACTAAGAGAGGGCGAGGGATGGTTAGCAGCATCCCTCTTAAAACATATCCAACTTATCATTTAATATATATCATATTAACAAACATATCCGTTTAACTGCGGTTGCCAATCCCCTTGTTAAGCGTGACAACTACTATAAAATCTACTACTATAAAAACCCCCTAAGGGGCAGGCTTCTGTTCAGCAGTGGCCAGTCTGATATAATGATCAGTTAATACAAAAACCTAAAAGTATTATACAGCAGAAATGGGAACCCCGTCCATTCCAAATTAAGTTTAAAATGAAATATTACAATTTCTAATCGAAATTCTGAATCAGCGCACTAGACTCATTTAAATTTTACGGGGGAAAGTGAATGAGCAATATGAAAAAAAAAAAAAAAAACTTGTTTCTGATTAAACAAAGTGGGTATTTAACCTACTTTGGAGTTATTAAAGCGGTTCGAGTCTACGGGCATTATGTTGGTCACACTGACTAGTTTTTGAGGTAAATTATTGGACAGACGTTATCTTTATAGTCAATGAACAAACAGTTCGGTTATATTGTGGATGTACAGAGAAACGATTTATTAGTGGCGAAGACTCATTCGGTTTGCCGTATGATCCCGGCACAGAATAGGCCACCCATTCCTTTCCATTCCAATAGGTGTAGTAAGAAGTAGTGATTGCAATCCAGCAGCGTTTTCAATCCAGCTGGATTCTTGCTGGATTGACCTGAATCCAGCTGGATCCAGCTTGTGTTGCCGTTCATTCGCGTATGCGGCACATGCTATGATGACAGAACGGCAACGTCGCCGTGCCGTTTTGAAAAAGGCGGCAATTTGAAATTAAACAATAGAAATTGACACGTTTGCGGATCCGCTTCACTGGATCCAGCATGTTTAAAAAGACGCTGAATCCAGCTGGATTGCTGTATGCTGGATCCAGCAATTGCAATCTCTAGTAAGAAGTGACTAAGGGATCTTTTACGGTCGAGGAATGGGCAGCAGTGTCCTTTTTAAAACATCGCCAAGACCTAATTGAGGTTATATTCCTCCTTTATCTGAAAGTATATACTTTCATCTTTTCATATTGGTCTCATTAAAATTTTATAAAAATCGTTTCAATAGTTTGGTCTTTAAATTAAAATAACTTTTTTTTTTATTGGATGAAAATGGTATGGTAACCCCGCCTGCGCTAACGGCATACGCTGGCAGGGCACCAGTGAATGGTGATCGATGAGGATGAAAACAGGCCAGTTAGCCGATCACGATGAATTCATCTGGAATTAATCATGATAGTTTCCAGGGAGAACCGCGAGGAGGTCGACCTGGTTGGGTATATTGCTAGCAATGGGATTCTCAGTCTCCATTCGTGAAGGTCGTGTCCTTGAAAGGTGTCTGTTGCCTCTCTTATGATATTATTCCATTTCGCACGGACTTAAGCCTCTCGCAGGGCAGCTGCAACTGATAGTCCCGTAACGGCGGTTACTTGGTCCAACTATCGACTAGGTGATCGTCCGCGTGGTCTTTTTCCCTCTAAATTTAATACTAAAGATGAATTTATTTAAAGGATTTTAAAAAATTAACGAAGTGGTAATCGTTTTAGGGCTTTTGTTGCTATTGAAGTCACAGATGTTATCGACTTCCTTTGAAATACTGCACCTGAGGTCCGGACCATTAGGGTGCCCTTAGGCATACATCATATTCCATCAAATCAGAATGCACTTACAGTTGCTTAGTAAAATCTTTCCGGGGGCTAAGAGTGTCCTTAGTACTAGCCCTTTGCGCTTGTTAAAGCTGTAAGGATCATCTGCGTCTAACGCTCGGTTTGAAAAATACTATTTAAAAAAAAGTATGTTATTTTTTTTATGTATTTTCTTTTTTTTGTATATTTATCTATGCCTGTTGTTATTTCTATTTTAATGCATTTAATTGATTTAGTATATTTTTTATAATGGGTGATAATGAAATGGTAACCTCGCTTGCGCTATCGGTATACGCTGGCGGGGCACCAGTAAGGGGTTTTTTTTTATGGGCGCAAATGGTATGGTAACCCCGCCCGCGCTAACGAGATACGCTGGCGGAACACCAGTGAAAGGTGATCGATGAGAATGAAAACAGGCCAGTTAGCCCATCATGATGAATTCATCAGGAATTAACCATAATAGTTTCCAGGGGGGACCGCGAGGAGGTCGACCTGGTTGGGTATATTGCTAGCAGTGGGATTCTCAGTCTTCATTACTAACAATCCGAAATTCACAAGAATTCGAATTTAACAATAATTAACTACGTTATTTTCCAGGGACAACCAAGGGGTCGGTCTGATAAGATATATTGCTAACAATAATATTTTTGGACTTCATTATTTTTGTCTCATATTAATTTTGTTATTTTTTTTTATGATTAATGAGGATGAAAAGGCAGGTCATTTAGCCCAAAGTAATGAATTCATCTGAAATTAAACATGATGGTTTCTAAAGGGAATCGCTTGGAGGTCGACTTAATAGTATTGCTAGTAATGGAGAAATTACACCCCCATTAATAATAATCGCTGTCCCCAATTGTATTAATAATAGTGTGTAAGTGGTAACTACAGTTAATTTCTTCAGTTTATTGTCTAAACAAAATTCATTCCAGTTTTATTGGTTACTTACAGTGGCGTTTGACTTTGGCCACAAGCCAGCTAGAGCATGGATATCTCCAGAATTAAACTTGTGTTAAAATATCACAACAAATCTCATACAAATATTTTACGGTTAAATTTGGTTTATGACCTTTGGGCGTTGTATGTTTTAATTAGATGTTTTATTTATTTATTTAAATAACTTTATTGATCAAAATAAAATAAGGTAAAAGAGGCGGAGTTAATGCTAGTAGCATGCTCTATCGACCTTTGAGTGAATCACGAGAGCACTACTGTCTTAGCTACTGAAAGAGATTGAGAATTAATTAATGGTTTTGTACGAATAAAACTGTAAGATTGTGTCCTAAAAGAAAAGAACCGACTTCAATTCTGGCAAGACAAATTATTTTGTTATCAAAACTAAACTGTTGAATAGATTTTAATAGAATTGCTATGGGACTAATCTATCTATCTATCTATACTTATAATAAATCTGTAGAGAGGTCAATTATGTACATGAAATATATTTCCAAAATAACTATTAGGCGGTGATTAGTGATCGATACTGATGCTAAAAATGTAATCAGTAAAATTTTTGTCTGTCTGTCTGTATGTTGGTTATAGAAACAAAAACTACTCGACGGATTTTAACGAAACTTGGTACAATTATTCTTCATACTCCTGGGCAGGTTATAGTATACTTTACATCACGCTACGATCAATAGGTGCAGAGCAGTGAAGGGAAATGTTAAAGATGTCCACCCGTGCGACGCCGGGACGGGCCGCTAGTCTTTAATTATATTCTTTCAGATGAAATATTTTTTTTTTAAATCGGTCATATCAGGTAACAAACATTATCAATTAAATTGAATACCTTTTTTTTTTGATGGGTGATAATGGAATGGTAACCTCGCCTGCGCTAACGGGATACGCTGGCGGGGCAGTGACCTGACCCCAGTGAAGGGTGATAGATGAGAATGAAAACAGGCCAGTTAGCCCATCATGATGAATTCATCGGGAATTAACCATGATAGTTTTCAGGGGGAACCGCGAAGAGGTCGACCTGTTTGGGTATATTGCTAGTAATGGGATTCTCAGTCTCCATTACTAACAATCCCTTTCCCCTCTTTTGAAGTCGGTTGAAAGCATAAAAATTAAATGCCGTTATGCCGCTTGCCGTAAACGACCTTGATAACGGTTAGGCCGATTTGCCTTTCATAATCGTAATAGTTCGATTAGGGTTTTTAGGAAGAGTTCTCGCGTTTTAGGAACAATCTAGCTTGGCTGGACAAACCCATTGGCCCGGGGGAAAGGGATTGTTAGTAATGAGATTTAACAGCCTCATTGCTAGCGATACACCCCATCAGGTCGACCTCCACGCGGCTCCCCCTTGAAACTATAGTGGTTAATTCTTGTTTGATTGGTCACTATGGGCCAACTGACCTGCCTTCATTCTCACCTGTCACCCTTCATTGGTGTCCTGCCAGCATATACCGATAGCACAGGCAGGGTTACCATTCCATTTTCACCCATTAAAAAAAACATTAGCCCACTACCATTGGCCCATTAGTACTACTAGTCGTCGCTTTTAAGTGTCGCCCTCTGGTATCAGGACTTTTTTTTCGAGATTGGAACTATGCTGGACTAACTTAGAGAGCTTACTGTGCTATCGATATATGCCAGCGGGGTATATAGATGTTAGTTAGTGTATAGATGTTAGTTAGTGTATAGATGTTAGTTAGTGTATAGATGTTAGTTAGTGTATAGATGTTAGTTAGTGTATAGATGTTAGTTAGTGTATAGATGTTAGTTAGTGTATAGATGTTAGATGTTAGTTAGTGTATAGATGTTAGTTAGTGTATAGATGTTAGTTAGTGTATAGATGTTAGTTGAGGATTAAAGCTGGTCAATTGGCCCATCGTGACGAGTTCCACAAGAATTCATCACGATGGTTTCTAGGGGGAACTACGGGGAGGTCGACCTAATACGGTATATGACTAGCAATGGGACTGGTAGTCCACATTGCTAGCCATATACCATCATACACATCAATAACCCCCCCCCCTTTGGCTTTTTTTTATGGGTGTAAATGGTTTGGTAACCCCACCTGCGTTAACGGGATACGCTGGCGGAGCACCAGTGAAGGGTGATAGATGAGAACGAAAACAGGCCACTTAGCCCATCATGATGAATTCATCTGGTATTAACCATGATGGTTTTCAAGAAGAACCGCGAGGAGGTCGACTTGGTTGGGTATATTGCTAGCAATGGGATTCTCAGTCTCCATTACTAACAATCCCTTCCTCCTAGACATATACTGTATTAGGTCGGCAGGGTTGCCATTCCATTGTGGCGTCTGTAAATTAATATTGTAAATATTCATCTCATAGCCATTTATCAACATCATTACTTTCTTCTCCATCAAGTAGGTTAATTTAATTGTACATAGATATTTCACCTCTTTCTATCTTTCGCACTGGACGTACAGACATGACAGCGACGTTTACTTCTCACATTCATTTCTGCTGTCATTCTCTCATTATATGAAAATCAATAATATAATCAAGTTAGTTGTTACTTATTTCGTCCAAACAACTATACCATTATCATCCATTTAAAAATAAATACGGTATATGGTGACAAAAATCGAAAAAGGAATGTTGCGTTGGTTTGGTCATTTGGAGAGGATGGATGAAAGAAGAATTACGAAAGAGATTTATCGAGCAAGAATGAATGGAGATGTCGGTAGGGGCCGCCCTAGACGGACGTATGTCGACCAAATAGGCGACGTGCTGAAAAAAGGCCAAATTAAAAGTACCCGTAACCGACGAGCGTGTATGACAAGATTGATGAATGTGGAAGAAGCGAAAGAGGTTTGTTTGAATCGAAGCATTTGGCGTTCCATTGTTTCTGCCTACCCTAATGGGAGACAGGCGTGACAGATATGTATGTATGTATGTATGTACGGTATATGGTTAACAATAGGGCTGTTAGATCTCATTACTAAAATTAAAAAATCTCCTCCATCCTGACGCAATACGTTGGATTAGATAACAATTTGTTCAAGGGCCAAACTACGTATATTACATTATATAATATTACTAGCTGACTCGGCAAACGTTGTTTTACCATATACATTATTTTTAGAACTATACATGAAAATATATCGCACTACAATTATTATATTGGATTGCCATCTTGCAACCCTATTGCAGCATATAAAAATCGCGATTAAAAAACAGGAGTTGATCGTAAAACGGTGAAAATTTGAGGTTGTATGTATTTTTCAATGCTAAATCATAATAAAATAAAAATGAAAAAAATTGTCAAAAAAATGAAAAAAAAATTTTTTTTGGGGAGAGTCACCCTTATCATTGACGGGTATGAAAAATAGATGTAGGCCGATTCTCAGACCTACCCAATATGCACACAAAATTTCATAAAAATCGATAAAGCCGTTTCGGAGGAGTTTGGTAACAAACACCGTGACACGAGAATTTTATATATAAGATTTCCAATTTATTACGTAGTCACAAGTTTGTATATGTTTTCCATTGAAAATGTTTCTCTAATTCTTCACCCACGGTTTTGGCCTGATCCCATAAACAATCTGACAGTCTTACATTTTTCTATCTTATTTAAAGTATATAATAGTAAAGTCTTCTGTAATAAATGACTCAATTATTTTAAATATGTCTATTGGGGGGAAAGGGATTGTTAGTAATAGGGATATAACAGCCCTATTGCTAATAATATACTATATCAGGTTGACTTCCACGCTTTTCCCCGTGAAATAATCTTGATTAATACTTTAATTAGACGATTTCCAGGTTTTATTAGATTAAAAGGGGGGTAAAGAGGTTCAGGTACCAGAGGGAGACTTTGTACAAAAGTCGATTACTTGGGTACCTCTGTTCCATTCGTGTTTCAACCGTGAAGCAGTTGTGTTTGCATAGCTGTGTTTCGGTTTGAAGGGTAGGATATGGCGTGAATTTACTGGGTACAGAGGAATAACACCTGAGTCCTCAGGAATGGCAACGCATGGGGGGTATCATGGGTGAAACAGTATACTCTGTTATGTCCATGGTACTGCTCATGTCTATAGGCGACGGTTACCACTTTCCATCAGGTGGGCCGTCAGCTTGTTTGCCATTTTAAGTTGTATAAAAAAGAAAAATCTCTTTTTCCGAAACATTAAGCCAAGAAGTAGGTGTGACACAACTTGTCCGAGTAATGTCATATGACGGAAGTATGAAGTGTCACACACTTCAACCATTTATTGACCAATTTTAAATCTGGCTTCTAGTTAAGGAACACTGTATTTTCTGAGTTGAGTAAATTGTATTCTTGCATTCCTCCTGGACCACTAAGGATTGATTTTTTTTAATTTTGACTAGTCATTTGACTTATAAAAGAAAGCGGTTTTTGATTCTTTTGTGTTTTTGTACGTATGTTATATCATAACTCCCATCAGTTACGAACCGATTTGGAAAATTCTTTTTTTTATCTGAAATGATAAACTTGCAGATTGGTGCTACATGCACCTTTGAATGAAATTTTATTTCGGTATTCTTTCGGTTTCAGGCAAATCGGTTTAGTAGTTTAGTTTTAAATCAATATAACTGATTTAGCTACAATTGAAGTTTTTTTTTTATGGAATACGATTTTAAAATAATTTTTCTTATGCAATTGTAGATGCATCCGGTAAAGTTCGCATTTGGGACACGGTGAACAAGGAGCACATATTGAAAAATGAGTTCCAGCCGATCGGAGGTCCCATCAAGGACATCGCTTGGAGCGCTGACAGCCAGCGCATTGTGGTGGTCGGGGAAGGCCGTGAGAGGTGATATATTTTTCTGTCAATTTAAAAAAAAATGGAGGTATTCAATTCGATTGTATTTTTTTCTGTTTGTTACCTCATAATTCCGTCAGTTCTGAACCGATTTGGAACTTTCTCCGGAAAGATATATTTACAGATGGGTCCCATAGAAATTTTATCAAAATCGGTGCAGTAATTAAATTTTTAGATCAAAATAAATAGTTTTGTCACAATTGACTTATTAAAAGGGAACCCTGCTTGCGCTAATGGTATACGCTGACGGGGCACCAGTGAGGGATGATAGGTGAGGATGAAAACAGGTCCATTGGTCCATCGTAATGAATTCAAAAATAAATCAATCACGATGGTTTCCAGGGGGAAACGCGAGGAGGTCAACCTAATAGGGTATATTGCTAGCAATGGTGTTGCTAATCCCCATTACTAACAATGCTTTCTCCCCCTCACCGATGTCATCAAAGGTTATGTTTAAAAATCAGTTGTTTCTATACGCAGATTTGGCCATGTGTTCATGGCGGAAACCGGTACGTCGGTCGGCGAGATCAGCGGCCAGTCGAAGCCTATAAACTCTGTGGACTTCCGGCCGTCGCGCCCGTTCCGGATCGTGACCGCTTCGGAGGACAACACTATCGCTGTGTTCGAGGGGCCGCCGTTCAAGTTCAAGTGCACTAAGCAGGTGATTGGATAATCATAATAGTTGTTAACTGTCCGCTGCTGGATGCCCATATTCATATCCCTTTCAGACCTGAACGATACGGGCGTGAGTTGTAACTTTAAAAAATTCTAAAACCGCGCGTAATTTTTACGCATGAAGCTGTAATAACATGATAGTGAGATTCTAAACCGGCCAATAAGAAATCATTTTAGCGGTTAGGTGGTGCAGTAGTCTCGTGCGTGCCGACAAGATGGCTTGGCTCCAAAACACGAAAATATATTTTATCTGAAAGAAAAAAAAATTGGGTCTGAAAGGGATATCCCCTCTGGTGATTTTTTGCTAGTAGCCACGCTTGGCAGGTGGATTGCCAACCTCAGTTAGGCTTTCGTGATGTTATAAATAAAATAAATTAAAAAAAAAATAATTTATTTAGCAGACATTGTTACGCTTATATTAATATAGAGTAAAATAATATGTATGGCAAGTGAAGAGGTTATATGATGTTTGTCGAAATGGTCCCCGCTCAGCGTTATGCTGCAGCCGAGGTGCTACAGCGCTGATTTCCAGATGAAGCCCTTCGGGGAACTCTTAAATTAATATGCTAACTTACATAATATTGAACATGTAAAACTTATTTACATAACATTATAGCGTATTTTATAATTTATGAAGGACGTAATTTTTTTTTTATACAACTTAGTATGGCAAACAAGCTGACGGCCCACCTGATGGAAAGTGGTAACCGTCTCCTATAGACATGAGTAGTACCATGGACATAACAGAGTATACTGTTTCGTCCATGATACCCCCCATGCGTTGCCATTCCCGAGGACTCAGGTGTTATTCCTCTGTACCCAGTAAATTCACGCCATATCCCACCCTTCAAACCGAAACACAGCCATGCAAACACAACTGCTTCACGGTAGAAACACGAATGGAACAGAGGTACCCAAGCAATCGACTTTTGTACAAAGTCTCCCTCTGGTAGAATTTAATAAAAATAAAACTCTGCTGTCATAAATAGATTATACATATATGATTTATATGGAATCTGAGACTATCTAGAGACATTTTGTACAAAAGTTGTTTGCTTGGGCACCTGTTGTATGTGTTTGCATTATTGTGTTTCGGTTTGAAAGGTGGGACATGGCAGTAAATTTACAGGGTACAGAGGCATAACCTTAGTTCTCAGGAATGGTAACGCATGAGGTGTATCATGGGTGAAACAGTATACTCTGTTATGTCCATGGTACTGCTCGTGTCTATAGGCGACGGTTACCACTATCCATCAGGGGGGCTGTCAGTTTGTTTGCCATTCTAAGTTGTATAAAAAAATATATAGAAATAAATTTTTATGAGCTTCAGACCAGCTTTTCGAATGTGAAATCTCGTGTTGTATAATATTATTATTTTACATTTACAGGAGCACACTCGTTTCGCTCAAGCGGTCCGCTACAGCCCGGACGGCAGTTTATTCGCGTCGGCAGGCTTCGACGGGAAGATCTACTTGTACGATGGCGCCACCTCTGAGCTGAAAGGAGAGGTAATTTTTCTTTAATGGATGATAATGGTATGCCAACCTCGCCTGCCTGAGCACCAATAAGTGACGATAGATGAGGATGAAAATGCAGGTCAGTTAAACCATCGTGATGAATTCACTTGGAACTGAGCACGATGGTTTCCAGGGGGTATCGCAAAGAGCTCGACCTGACCAATGAACTCGCCTCTCCAAATCACCACCCTGTATTAGAGAGGTGAGTTCATCCCTCCCCCCTTATAAACAATGGTTATCACTTTCCATCAGGTGGCCCGTCAGTTTGCCATTTTAAGTATCATAAATAAAATTTGTAAAAAGCGATTGCTAAGCGATGTTGGTATAATTTACTTCAATCAATCTCAACATTCATTCACAGATCGGGTCACCAGCTCACAAAGGCGGTGTTTACGGTATCGCGTGGTCCCCGGACGGCAAGCAACTGCTGTCCTGCTCGGGTGACAAGACGTGCGCCATCTGGGACATCGAGACGATGCAGCGGGCTACGTTGTTCAATATGGGCACAGCTGTTGAGAATCAACAGGTAATGGGTGCATCCAGATATGTGTAATGCTCTGTTTGTCTGTATCAATGTAATTTGGTATTCACAATGCTAAATGCTACAGCCGTTTGTCTGTGAGTAAAGGCGTCCTTGACAAATCATAGATGCAGATATCTTCTATTAGGCTGACATAGTTGTAGTACTGAATAAAAATTAGAATTAAAAATATGCCAATATTTATCACCAGGTGTCGTGTCTCTGGCAAGGCAAGCACCTCATCTCCGTGTCGCTGTCAGGTGTAATCAATTACCTGGACGTGGATAATCCTGACAAGCCGTGGCAGGTGCTGATGGGCCACAATAAGCCCATCACATCCCTAACGCTGCACCCAGACAGACACACTGTGTACACAGCCAGTCATGATGGTTGTGTCACCTCGTGGAACGTGGAAACTGGTGAGTTTTTGTATACACTTATGTGGGATTTTCACAGATCGATTTTAGAAAGAAGAAAGAAGAAGGGACCATATAATAACAAAACATATAATCCAAGAGACTACAGCATGAGGTTCTTCAAAAGGGGTAAAGAGGTTTCTAGCTAGTCTATTCTATCTCATGGACCCGCTAACGATAGAATGAGATAGCAGTGCCGGAATGTCATCTCATCTCATCAAAATCAATATGTCTTTTAATTATAGTTTTTCATTTCTCGTTGGCCAACTGGGAGTATTTACAAACTAATTGGTTAATATGGCGACATCTTTTGCAGGCGAAGCCCGCCACATACAAGGTCAAGGTCACGGTAACCAGGTGAACGGCATGCGCTCCAGCAAGGACGGCTCGCTGCTCACCATCGGTATCGACGACACGCTACGCCGGGCCGTGCCCGCCGCCGAAGGTAATATTTATTCTTTAATCAGTTATTTACATACTCTTTTTTTATTAAGAAATATAATTGGTCAAGTGTGAGTTGAACATACTTTCCAAGGGTTGTTTACAAGATAAAACTGTAAACAGGTCTTTTTTTTCTTTAGCAGTTATTTGAAAAATATGTATATATGAGATTTCCAGCTACATTCCGACAGGACATAGGCTACCTTTTATCTCAGTCACGCAGACGAAGTTATGGGTAAAAACTAGTAAAATATAATCAATATACTGTTTTACCGATGATGGCCGTTGGTTCAATACCTACATAATACAAACATTTGTATTCGGGATTATGTCTGTATTTGGTTGGATATTTTATATGTAATTGTTTATTTAAAAAAAATACAAGGAAAAGTAAGTTCGTCTGTTAGTTATCTAGTATCCATAGTACAAACTTCGCTTAATTTGAAACTAGATGGCGTTATACAATATGTCTAGTGGTACTTATTTATTTTTAATTTATTGTTGTACCAGGCGAGGCGCCGACCTACACGGATGTGTCCGTTCCTCTGGGCTCGCAGCCTCGCGCCATGGATCACATTATAGAGGATGATACTACAATTATAGCCACGGTCAAAGAGGTACGTCCCGTCAAAAGCATTCTCAGTATTGTTCACTTCATATATGCCTACTAAGATTTTAAATCAAGGGGATTTTTTTATGGATGATAATGGAATGGTGACTCCGTCTACGCTATTCTTCACTTACTATTCTTTTCAACCAACTTTACAAAAAGAAAAAAGTTCTCAATTCGGTTGTATTTGTGTTTATTATATCATGACACCATCAGTTCTAAACTGATTTTAATTTTTTTTTTATTAGAAAGGATATACTTACAGATTGGTGCCATAGAAATTTTATCAAAATCGATTAAATAGTTTAGTTTTAAAATGAAAATAACTTGTTTTGCCACAATTGTAGTTTTTTTTAGTGGAACACAACATTAATTATATTTACTAACTGCAAATGATGATTGGCCTTGTACTGATTTCAGTTGGCAGTGGTGATCGGCGGCAGTAAGCAGTCATCGTTGCCGCTCAACTACGAGCCCACGTGCGTCGCGATCGACCCCAAGTCCCGACACGTCGCTGTCGGTGGTAAGTGAAAAACAAAAATAATAAATACCATTAATAACGCCAGTTCCATAGAGAACCACCATAGAGATCGCTGACGCCGCATCGCATCCAAAACTCGTATAAATGACGTAAACGCCTAACTAGGTAGTCGATAACGCTGCAGCACGAGGCTGGTCTATGTCACGACTTAACGTACTCTTGGTTTACACTTCGGACTGGACAGTCATTTTAGTAGACTAAAATGTCTATGTCGCACGTGCGTCCAAAACAGTTTGGGGGCAGACTCGTGTTCCTGGACGATACCCAGGCGCATGCGCCGCGTCGACCGATGACAACGACACTCGCCCGAGACGCTAGTAAGGTCGTGTGTGTGTGTGTGAGACGACTGAATAAAATATGACCGCTCATTTACAATTGTCACTTAAAATTATTTTATTTTTAATTGCCATTGATAACAATTTAAGTCATTCCGATAGGCCCTGAGTTTTTATTTCTCATCACTGAAGCTAGTTCAAGCGAAACATTGAATATTTTACTCAGTGCCTTCTAATACCAAACTAAGTAGAGCTTATACTGTGGGTACTTGACGACAAAAGCATTTTCCAAATCGGTTCATAATCGACGAAATATATGATGTAACATACTTAAAAAAAAAGATATGCTATTAAATTAAGAATTTTCTTTTATTTTAAAGTCGGTTAAAGTGCCGTTATTTTTACTCCGCAAAGACAAATGCCAGGTTTAATAATTACAGAATATAAGGTAAAAAATATGGGTTTCCATTTGAAAATGTTAAGTTGTCCTTTAAATAGTCCTCAAGGTCATTGAACAAGGTCATTATTAAGTTCGTCTCTTGATATCTAACATTTTCTATAAAGGTCATTTTTCTCTTCTCTAATTACGAGTTATTCTCAGTCTTTGCGTTGAGAAAATTAGCTGTTTCGGTACTTTTGTGGCACCCTGTATAATTCCTCCCGCAGGTGCAGACAATAAGGTGCATCTGTACACGCTGGACGTGCGCACGTTGACACCGGGCCAGCTGCTGGAGCACCTGGGCCCGGTCACCGACGTCCGCTTCAGCCCCAACTCTCGGCTGCTCGTCGCCAGCGATGCCAACAGGAAACTTATATTATACTCCACTGATGACTATAAGGTGGGCTTACCGAACGATGGCGTGGAAACCATCATCCGTGCTTGTGCGAACAGTTCTGAGGCACTACAGAAACGGGGGAGTGCCAACATAATCCTAAAAATATTATTGTACAGAGCATTAGAGTATTCAGAGATTTTTCAGTATGCTTGAACCATAGACATTAAATGACATGTTGTTTATTATTCTGTTATTGCCGTGTGGTCCCGTCATAGAATACGCCACGCCTTCCTTTCCCGCTTGTGTCGGAAGAGGCTAAGGGAGGGCGAGGGATGGGCAGCAGTGATCTCACTTGTATATATTGATATTTTCTTGTCTTTTTGACGTGTTTACTGGTTTTTTGTATACTTTTTGTATTTGTGTGTACTGTTTTTTTTTTTAATTATTGTTTTAATACTGTAGGTAACTTATCCGTGAAATCACTGGTTTGTACAGAATAACAGTGCTGTGGCAGTAAATAAACTGCCATAGCATAATGCTCAGTGCTGGCCACGTTGGCAAATAATTGTAGCAAATTATAATATATAATTATAATATTATTTTTCTTAGTCTTTGATAGATACTCTTTATTGTTTTTTTCCATAAGATTACAATAATAAACTTATTAAGATACAAAAAATTACAAGAAATAATCACAATGAGAAAGCAAGGGGCGGCCTTATTTGGTTTTATTCTAATGCAATGGGTTGTCAATAAAGCTTTTTCTTTCTTTCCTTTTTAAAATATCTTCAAAGTCTAACGGCGGTTGCCAATCCGCCTGCCAAGCGTGGCGACTACTGGAAAAAAGGGTGTTTGTAAAATATGCTGGTTCTTGTTATTATATATTATTATTTATATTATATTAATTGTAAATAAAATTGCCGTCTGTTGACTTGATGTATTGTATTTATATTTTGTTCTAATTCAATTGTTTATCAATTTTCTTTTTTTTATAAAAAAAAAAACATTACAATTGTCAATATATAAAAAGGTTAATTTTGAACATATTCCACCTAGGAAAAGGTGTGAGAGAATTTTAACAAATCAAAAAAATACTTAAAATAAATTATTAGCTATATATATAAAATTAACTACCATGTGATGGTGTCAGGTACATTAGCCTATTGTTTTAAGAAGAAAATTGTTTATAATTTTTTTTTATTTGATGTATTGTATGTTTATTTTGTTCTAATTTAATTGTGTGTCAATTTTCTTTTTTTATAAAAATAAAATATTATAAAATTAAATATAAAATAAAATAAAAATAAAAGGTTAATTTTGAACAAAGGGGATGCTTATGTTCGACAGTGGACAGCTGGTATGATGTTGATTGATTGTTCTGTGTGTACAGCTGGCGCACAACAAGGAGTGGGGCTTCCACACGGCGCGTGTGAACTGCGTGGCTTTCAGCCCGGACTCGACGCGGGTGGCATCTGGCTCGCTGGACACCAGCCTCATTATTTGGAACGTCGACCAGCCCGCCAAGCACACCATCATCAAGAGTCAGTATGCGCCCACAATTTTTTTTTTTGCTGTTTGTATACCGAGGCCTTATCTGTGTGAATCCTTATTAATGTTATATGGTACATGTGACAGTTAGCTTGTTTCTATGTTTGTTTGTTACCTTATAGAGGCTAAACAGATTGACTGTGTTAGTAATGGAGGGGGGGGGGAGAAACTATCATGGTTAAGTCCTGATGAATTCATCATGATGGGGCCTGTTTTCACTATATATTTTCATCCCGTTGTTATCATTCCATATTCACCCATAAAAAAAACAGATTGACTAATTAAGAAATATAGTTTACACATACTATGTGGGTTGGAGGAGGATATAGGCTATTTTTTATAAGTAAATATATTTGTCATGCGGGCGAAGTCGCAGGTAAAAGCTAGTCAGTACATAAAGTTATATTCTATGTGTTAAGTTAGGATATAACGTACCTGTGTACAGAATTTTATTCAAATTCTTTCACTGGTTTTTACTTTCAAAGAAATAATCAAGATATTTTCCTGTAAGAACCATGAGGAGGTCGACCTAACAGAGTTTCTTTGAATGGAATGGTAACCCCGCCGCTGGCAGGACACTAGTGAAGGATGATAGGTGAGGATGAAGCTGGTCAGTTGACCTATCGTGGTCAATTAAACAATAAATCAGTCACGATGATTTACAGGGGGAACAGCGTGGAGGTGAACCTGAAAGGGCATACTTCTGGCAATACGGCTAATTGTCCACATTACTAACAGTCTCTTCCCTCTATCCAGTGGTATTTTTCTATACGTACTTACTAATGTTATAAATGTGAAAGTGAGTTTGTTTGTTTGTTTATTTATTACCTATTAACGTCTTAACTACCGAACCAGTTACTATTAAATTTGGTATACATATATTATGGGATGAAAAAGGCTATAAGGTAACGCTACTTTTTATCTTTATCATGAATATATCACACAGACGAAGTCGCGGATAAAAGCTAATACTATTTAAATTAAATTACATTTGAATTAAATTTATTATATTTAAATTAAATTAATTACATTTAAATTAAATTTATTTCATTTAAATTAAATTTATTTAATTAAAATTAAATTTATTTCATTTAAATAGATTTATTACATTTAAATTAAATTAATTACATTTAAATAAAAATTTAAATTAAATTACAGACGCGCACCCGCAAAGTCAAATAACTGGCATCACGTGGGTGGATGACGAGACGGTGATCTCCGTGGGACAGGACGCGAACACACGTGTCTGGAGTGTGCCTAAAGCCTAAACCATAAGAATAAATATCAAGGTAAAACTGATACTCCCGTCGATACGATAATTACAAGGGGTACGTGATATACGGCAATATGTATATATTGTTTATACAAGATTTATATATTGGTCCATTAAAGAATATATTAAGTATTCGATCGAAATTTATATAGATATCCAACAGATGTAGGTGTCTTTGAAATGGGCGATGACCTTTATTCGGCTTTGAATGTCCAGAGGAACCCAATATATAGATATTGTGGCAGTAATGATAATACATTAGCGTACGGTGATGGCTCGTGTCCTATTAAGAGCTAAATGAGTCAGGGTTGTCAAGCGACAGACACTGTAGTGGGAACATTCGTCTCGCTCACTCATATTTGTATAGCGTGGGGTGAGTCTTTATAATGGATAGATATGGATTATAAAGATAGTGCGTAGATCAAAATTGACTCAGCCAAACCTCACTTTAATTCTATCAATTTTGATAGATATATTTTTTAAATTATAACAAAGCGCGCTATGTTTTTAGTGTTGCAAGTAATTGCATTAAAAATTCCCCACATGAGGTTAATTTTTTAAATTAAAAAATATGACCTACTTTTCCAAAGCATATGTATGAAGGCACTATTTATATAATCTAAGGTTGCATCTTATTGTAATTTGTGACAACCCTACCAACGTATGCGGGAGCTAAAGGGAAAAAGAATATTAGCGGCATTTCTGCAATTACAAAGGGAAGTAAACGAGTGTCAGTTTTACTCGATATAATTTGTTCTTATGTCTAAACATAGCTTTTCCAGGGATGTACTCTTTGTATGAGTATTTTAAAAACTTAGAATATGTATTTTTTCTACCAGTTTATTTATTTTCACGACAAGTTCCTTAAGTAGTGGGTGGCCAGAGAGAAGAGAGTGCCAAAGGCCTCTATGCTTACATATGTCTCATGTTTCATCCATTTTCATAATTCGTCTCAAGTTGTATGTATGAGTTACGAAAGTGGTTCTGGCAATTCTTAATGATAATATCCACCAAACGGCTTGCATCAGATCGGCTCGGAACGGATTTTACAATCTTTAAACGATTTTAAATCGTATACACAGTATTTAAAGTCTATATTACCAAGCCGACTACAGAAACTTGACCGCGGATGTCTTCCGCGAAACGCGATCGTAGCCGAAGGTATGTTGCGACGCGCGATCGGCTCTGTTCGCCTGTCGTCGTACATCGATTTGGAAAATTCTTTTGTTTATCTAAAATGGTATACTTACAGATTGGTCTTACAGAAATTTTATCAAACTTGCTTGAGTAGTTTAGTTTTTATATCTAAATGACTGGTTTTGCCACAACTGAAGTCGATTTTTTTTCTTGTGGAATTAAATTTTAATTATCAATATTTCTCATTGTTCCAACTTTTCCTTTACAACGTTATTTATTGCCTTATTTTAAGTTTTTAATGAATTCCCTACAAGATAATTTCCCTAAAAAGCAAAAGGTACTAATTAAAAGAGTATATTAATTTATTATTAAGAAACATTAAGAAAATACTAATGTATTTATTTTCGCTTCATTTTAGTTGTAAAATTAATTAATGCTCAGAAAATTGTCTACGAGCAACTGTAACGGAATATGTGTCGTCACTGTAGTTCCATTCGGCTGGCCTTACTCCCCTTCTTAAAAACTAGCAACACATTCCGGCTTCCAATTTTTTTTTTATCAAAATTAAGCCCATATTACACGCTGTATAATATAGTTATTTATAATTAAAAAGATTTTTCGATTTTTTTTTAGTTTATCTATTATGAATAAAAAATTAAATTTTTTATTTCCTATTTTAAGAGTGTTCATACTTCTGAAATGTGGCAACATCGCTGTTCTCTTTTAATTGTCAATAACAATTAAACAGTTTTTAATATTTATAAATAGCTTTAAATTCATTACTGGAAATCTTTTTAAATATTAATTTATTTAAAAAGTGTTCTCTTAGTGAATTAAAACTTAATGATTTAAGTTCATATACCCGGCTACTAAAGTTTGCACTTAGGCACTTCATATTTTGCTTTGAAATTTTTCAAAGACATTATTTCTATTAAAACCCAAATTTTAACTGTAATAGCTAAAATAAATGCATAAACTATTTGAAGTTTTTATATACATATAAGGGGATGATTTTGGTGGCAAAAAGAGAGATAAGATGTATTCCGTTAGTTGCTCATTATATTATAGCGTAATTTATTTGTTACTAACCAGTTTATATATATTGCGTTTCCCAGTGAGTAAACGAGATTCTTCTGTATTGATCTCTGATACGAATGTTGCTTCCTTGTCAAGGCATTTTTACAGTCAAAATGTTTCATATCGTAGTGTTTATATTTCTTTTTTTACTTTTTTTTTACAAGAAATTTTAAACTAGAACCTTAAATTCTATAATTATTCAATCTCATTTGTGACTATGATTTCTATAAATAAAGACTGTAAATTCTTAGTATTTTTTTTATATTTATACAATATTTTGTCTTTATAATCAAATTTGAGGACATAAATCTTTGTTTTTGTTAGAAAATTTTGAATTCTATCAATGAACTAATAATCTATTTATTTTTTTTGTCATCAACTATTAACAATTCTGAATATGACATGTGCTACGAACTAAATAACATATTGACTGTAAAATTTGCCTTATAATTTATTATTGTATAAGTTTTTCGTATTTTTTATATAATAAAAAAATAGTCCATAGTGTTTTTGCTGGCAAATTGTGATTTTTTTCAAATATCAATATTAAAAATATTGTTTGTATCAATTAGTATACTAACGTGTGAAGAAGCATTTACATCGAGGTGTTATCAGCACTCTTCAGAAATATACACTATACATATTGTTAGAATGTTTGAATACCAACGTACGGGTACGTTACCAATATCATTGTAACTGTCAATTGCATTTTCCCGCGTAAAAAAAAATAGAATGTGGTTTGTCTATGTATCAAATTTCATTCAAATCCATTCGCTTTTTTAAATTGAGTAACAATTTTTACAAAATCATATTTATATTAATAATCTGTATATATATACAGATAATGTAATATAAAATATAAACATATATATGTATATACGTTGGTGTAAAACTTTAATATTATAATGTGTATTTCTGAACGGGACAAAAACTTTTCTAAACAGTATTTTTATACTAATTTCTAATATATTTTCTCTTTTTTTTACGTGGTTTCTACTAAAATGTATGTAAGATGATGAAATAAAAATTGTATACACTTGTATTTTTGGTGTTTTATTTTTATATACTATAAAAGTTCAGTCCTTGTAGTCTTGACCTAGAATAGGGCACCTCTTTCTTTCCCTTGGGTGTCGTAAGAGGTGACTACAGGAGGGCGAAAAATGGGCAGCAGCGTCTCTCTTAAAACATCTCCAAAGCCTAACTGCTGTTGCCAATCCGCTTGGCAAGCGTGGCAACTACTGGCAAAACTTGCCTTATTGGGAAATCTTATGTTCACCAATGGACAGTGAAGGGTTGAAACGATGATAAAGAACAATAGATAATTAAAGGTCACATTTTTTTTTATATAGAATTTGAGCCTTTGACAACAATCTGAATAGACGTTACGTGATGAATTGCTATAAAACCATAGACAGTATAACGTACTATAATATAAATCGAAAACGATGGACGCAAACCCATATTATATACTTATATGATTATATGATTAGGGAATTATAGACACCAGGAGAGGATTCCATACCTTGGCTTTTGCTAGCTAGGTTTAAGTTATAAATCTTGCATTTTTGCAAGAACAAAATATAATTAAAGTACATATTATTGTAGTTTGTTCAACTATTATATTAAAAATGTAAATCTTTTTTTATATTAGTTATTACCCCCGGCTTCGTTCGCTTGACCGGAATAGTCCTCTATCCCATACAGCATATGTATGTATACCTACACCAAATATGACAATTGTTAGAGCCGTTTAGGTGGCAAGAGGGAATAAACGAACTCACTTTCACATTTATAATATTAATTAGTTACGATTATTTATGCCCGCAACACTGTTCGCGTGTAGGTCAATAACCTTCCGTCATAATTAATTTTATATTTTAGAAATGTACATTAGGAGTTTGTTATTTATACCCAGACCTTGTTTGGGATTACGAACTTAAAAAAAAAAAACTGTAAATAAGTATATTAATATTTATTATATATAAATTGTCTTTCTTCTAATGTCTTTTTATTGTCTTATACTAGTAATGTTATAACAGTTAAAATAGAAATAATTATTATATTACATCACTTCCAGTTTTAATAAATAAATAATATAATAACAATATAACAATAATAGACTAGAACAATTTGAAAAAAAAAAAAAACAATAAGTAAAAATGTTTCTGTGACATATGTTGTTATTTAAATTATTATAATGACTGTTCAGAAGTTAAAAAAAAAACATAGTTCCATAGATAGAAGATTGCAACAGAATGTGTTTTTTGTAAACCATCTTTAAAAGTGTTGCATAAATAATATATATGCATACATTTGATATTCTACAAAGGAAAAAAAAGTAGCTGAACACGAGCCGAACACGAATATTACTTAAGACAAGGTAGTAGAGTCTTAATGATTTTAGCTTACTCTATTCATGGGCAAACAATTAAAAAAAAAAAAAAAACTAATTTTACGTTATGTTCTACAATTATCTATTTTTGAAATTTGACATTTTTATGAACTGAATCTTCATAATAAATTACGGAATTTGATAATTTTGTCACAGCAACATCTTAAACTTCAATATCACAGAATTAACTGTATTTAGATATTTGTTAACATCAATGTACTATTTATATATTTTTAGAATTAATGTCTAGTAATAGAATTTATATTAGATTATATAGATAGAGCATTGAGCCTCAAAAACGGCTCGAATTTTTGTCAGCTAATTGTTAAATTAGCTGGCTCGTTTTTTTTTTACCTGTTTTATATATACTTACGCATACAATGTATCTTGATGTATTAATTAATAAATAAAATGAGTAACGCATTAAAAAGATACAGAATTTATAAGAAAAAAATAATATAGAAGTTTAAAAGAATAATCACTCATCACTATTTATCACGCAAAATTGTATGAAAAAGTTGATTTCTATGGAGACACTATCTATATAATCTAAGTATTTATATATTTTTACAGCTCGCCTGTGCTGTGAATTATTAATCTACATTTGTATAGTTCATACTTGGTTCACATATGTATGGCGTGTCGGACATTTTATGTCACGTAGAAAAACAATATGGCGGCTATAAAACGAATAAATAGTAACTTTTAACAAAACCCGTATTTCGTGGCGTCATCTAATAAAATTGTAGATTATGTTGATGTCTGATACTTAACGTTACATAAATAGGAACATATGAATAAATACATATTTGTACTTAAAAAGTAAAATAACTAGATTAACATATTTATACGCTTATTATTTTTTTATGAGTGAAAATGGAATGGTAACCCCACATGCGCTATCGGTATTCGCTAGCGAGGCACCAGTGAGAGATGATGGGTAAGGATAAAAGCAGGCCAGTTCGCCCATTGTGACGAATTACACAAGCATTAACCACGATGGTTTCCAAGGGAACGCTAGAGGTTGACCTGATAGGGTATATAGCAATGGGCCTGTTAAATCCTGTTACTAACAATTCCTTCTCCCCATAAATACCTTAATATTATCAATAGCTTTTTGTTAATTCTGAACATCGAATACTTGATTAGGTTCATTCGAAACAGTCCCGAATGTCTTTGATATTGAGGAAAAGTAATATCAAATCTTAGATTATATAGATAGTGTCTCCATACAAATGCTTCGAGAAAAGCAGGTCAACTTTTTCATACAATTTTGCGTGGTAAATAGTTATGAATGTTTCCTTTGTAACTTTTATATTTATTTTGTCTTATAAATTCTGCCTTTTTAATGCGTAAACACCCATTTTATTTATTAAATAATTAAATATAGATACATTAAAATACATTCTGTGCGTAAATAAATAGAAAATTAATAAAAAAAAACGAGTCAGCTAATTTGACAATTAGCTGACAAAAAGTTGACCCGTTTTTGAGGCTCGATACTCTATCTATATAATCTATGTATCAAACTTACGATATTATATCTAATAAATAAATTTATAAATTTAAATAATATTAAATAAATTTAATTATAATATATTTATAATAGCCCGTTTTTATTTATAATTATCAACAAATAATTGCAATATGTCTTTTAAGTGAAATAATTGTTAATAAGACAAGATGATATACGTGCATAAGAAACGGATCGCTGTATGGTCCTGGCGTAGAATAGGCCACACCTTCCTTTCCCTTGGGTGTCTTAAGAACCGACTAAGGCAGGGCGAGGGATGGGCAGCAGCGTCCCTCTTAAAACATCTCTAAAGCCTAACTGCGGTTGCCAAGCGTGGCAACTACTAGCAAAATCCCCTAAGAGAGAGGTTTATGTCCAGCAGTGGGCAGTTAAAGGCTGATATGAAGAGGATGATTATAATTTTAGATCATATAATATATAAATATTATAATATATAAATAATAACTATCATGAGTCATAATGTATTGTATTTATTTATGTTGGCTTTATTATGAATATGGGCTTCTGTTGAGTTCAAAACTAGTCGGAGATCTTAAAATTTAAAACGTGAGTAAACCCGACATATATAATTATAATATTTCAAACTTTTTTGATAATTCTGATGTGTGTGACCTCAAACTATTTGGTTAATTTATTTTGACCCAAGAGATGCTTTTCTATGTTCATTTTTGAGCTTCATGCCATCTCTCTGGTAAACTTCATATAATTTGGTCGATTCGTTTAATTGCAAAAACTTTAATAATGATTAATACGTATAATATTAATGTCTTTTGAAGTTACTGTAAGTTTTCGGTGGGAGACATACTTCATGGTTAAGGAAAATCGACTGATCCATCTAGACAGGTGACTCCGTGATATTATGTACTTAATCTATTTTACACCAATGTGGGAGGGAATTGTCAATTATGGGTACTAGCGGCCATATTGCTAGCAATATAGTCAGGTCTAACCCCATGTGGCTCCCTCTGGAAATTATCGTCCTAAACCTGGAAGATAACTGGTTTGACTTTATTCTCATATTAATCATTATAATGATTCGACTTACCCTTTGTAAGTGACAAGTTTTTTTAAATATTTTAAGATTATGGTCCGCAAAAAAATGACTTCCATAGTGACAACACTAGTTATTTTGATTTAAAATCTAAACTACTAAATTGATTTTGATAAAAAAAAATATGGGACCAATCTGTAAGTACCTATTCTTTTAGATAAAAAATAATTCCCAAATAAGTTGATAATTGATGGAGATGGGACCAATCTGTAAGTACTTGTAGATAAAAAAGAATTCCCAAATAGGTTGATAACTGACGAAGGTGGGACCAATCTGTAAGTACTTGTAGATAAAAAAGAGTTCCCAAATAGGTTGATAATTGACAGAGTTATGACCTCCTTATTTTTGAGGTCGGTTGAAAATATCAGAAGATTCCAGTCGTTTTCCTAAAATGAAGTATTTATTTCATAATAATTTCGATATACCAAAAGTTCAATTTTTTTTCTATTTAGGTACCAATTATTTTATCAAGTAAATATAGACACCATAGATATAGAAAAGTGCGTGTAGATAATTTATCGTATCTTACATAGACGACTTTATATTACGAGACATACCTACATGTTCTATAAATAATTAATTAATCTATGCTCATGTAAGTAAGTCGATAAATCAAAAAGTTCCATGGAAGTGGTGAGAATTTGTTATTAATAAATTCACTTCTTGGAAAATTTGTTCTGTCAGTTTTCAGCTCAGTACATGGAAGTTTTATGTTTCATTAAAAAGTAAGTATATAATGTTAGGGATTCGATTCGGAAGCGCCATTTCTTTAAACCTAATATTTTAATTTGATATAATAATTTTGCGAAATTACTATTTTATGGACCATTATAAAGTAAATCTATATGAATTAAACAATGTCGGGTTAGTTATACTTTCTTTTTATATCATAAAGGTGGCAAACAAGCATACAGCCCGACTGATTGTGAACGGTCACTTTAGCCTACGGACACCTGCAACACTAGGGGGGTCACATACATATTGCTGACTCTGAAGAAACCTTAATATACCCTTTTTGAAGAACCCCATGCTGTAGTCTCTAGTGAATACCTCGGCAGGGAGCTCATTCCACAACCTGAGTGTTCATGGGAGAGTTTCTCTGAAACCGCACTGTCCGTGACTATTTAGGATCAAGAGTTTGGGGATGGATATATTACAATACTTATAACTTCAGAACGGCTGGACAGATTTTGATAATCTATGATTTGCTGGATTCATCATCGCATCGAATAGTAGAATAACTATCTATTAAAATCTCGGAAACACACACAAAAAAAATTTAGAAAAATAGGTGGTACGAAGTTCCCCGGATTTTAGTGCTTAGAATAAAGATGTCGTTGTGATAACAATTTGAAGTTCTAATTTTATTATTATTATTATTAGTTGTAATTTATTGTACACAAAAATTACATAGTTAAAGTCTATATTAAATGAAGATGTATAACAGGCGAGCTTAACTCTGTTAATTCTTAAACTCTCTTCCAGCAAACCTTTAGACATACGGTTTAAAGAAGAGACACCTCAGAATCATTCCTACCGTAAATATTTTAGTATTTTAAGCAAACTCCCATATACCCACATCTTCAGGTATAAAATGAGAATCAGTTCATTGGATTTTATTGGCGTGAACAGTAAGCTGATTACGTATTTTATAAACATTGAGCTATTACTTTCTTTACTTGCTAATTGTCAAAAATAGATAGATAGATAGATAAGCTTTTTATTTGAGCCATTTATGACACACGTTAATTTATAAATGAGTTTATACAATTAAATTATTTACACATTTTAAAATATACAACAAAATATGAAAATATGGTTTCGCCATGTGTGTCGCAGTGACCCAAATAGGCTACAGCTCAGTGATGGTTGTGCTTAAAAGCAAGCAAAATAATGGTATTAGGTAGCATGATTGCTCCGTAATCGCTAAATTGCCATTCAAGTCAATAGTCAAGTGGCAATTGATAGAACTAATTCATAATAGCAATTTTAGTTAATAAATCGATCAGTAAATCATGTCGAAACAAAATATGTCGAATATAAAGATTGTCAGCAAATATCGAGTAATGTCGTCTACTGTTTACGAGATACGTAATCAGTGCACTGAGTTCTCACGGTCTTGCCACAAAAATAATTTAAAACACTGTCTATCTAAACAATGTTTAACAAAACACTGTTTAACTGATTAAACATTGTTTGGTCCGTGTTATAATGTTTATATGTAATTTTATGTGCTAAAATATACATTTCATTGAACACCTTTTAAGATATTTTTTTTTAATAAGACAGACTTTCTTTTGTTCAGACATAAACAGATGTTAGATACCCTTTTGTAATTTACTATACATACGCACCTCTAAATATGTATTTAACACCTGTCTATAGCAAGTTTAACTTTTTTGTGGTAAGACCGATCAAGTGAGCACAGCTAGAGTGACTTTAGTCACAAATCGGCCCTCTCTCGCGGCTGATGCGCGTGCCTGTACGCGACGTGCTTCCTCAGCGCGTCACGTGACCTTGACACGTGACTGCATGCGCGGCATGCGTGCCGCCGGCCCGCATGCGTCTCCATGTGCACGCGCAGGTTGTATTGATTGCTTAATCTCTTGTTGCATATAGTACAAACCGAACTGTTCATCCGCCATTTGCGATCGTACGAATCCTGTGGCGCTGAAAATTAGATGCGAATGTTATCCTTATTAATATTATAATCGCCGTGTAGGTCCCGGCATAGAATAGGCCACCCCTTCTCTTCCTGTTAGTGGCGTAAGAAGCGATTAAGGGAGCTTATGGTCGATGGATAAACAGTATCGTTCCTTTTGTAAATTTTTAAATTTTAATTTAAAGAAATTTCGTAAAAGTATGTTTGTTTCACTTCCATTCACAACTCGTCTCACTTTTACTTCATTTATTTTTCACTTAATCTAATTTTAATAAATTCAACCGTTTAAAAAAAAGGGTTCAATTTGGACGAAGATGGGCTTTTTAACACCAGCGCAGCAGATCACAGCAAGCAAGGAAAGTTCGGCGACAGAATTAAGGACATGACAGAGGTAGGCCTATGAAGGGGGCTTAGTAAAGTTGTCCATTTGTTAACATATAATGCGTATGTCGTAATGTTTGTTCAAAATAGTTAAGGCGAAGGGTTTAATTTAGAAATTCAGGGTAAGTAATGGCGGTCACTGTATATTAATGATATTATAAAATAAATTAGCTTGATTAGTATTTTAGAACGTTGACTTTTCAGGATTTCACATTGTAATGAAACATTTATAATAATAATAATAAATTTATTTGCTTTTAAGCAGGGTTTTTTAATGGATTGGGAACTCCACCCGCGCTATCGGTATATACAGCGAAGGATGATAGGTGAGGATGAAGCAGGTTAGCCCATCGTGACGAATTCAACAAGAATTGTTCACGATGGTTTCCAGGGGGAACCACGCGGAGGTCGACCTAATAAGGCATATTACTAGCAATGGGGCTGTCAAACTCCATTGCTAACAATCCCTTTCCTCCTCATTAAATAGGGTTGGTATCGGTGGTCTTATATTACATAAAGTTTCGAGCCTGTTTAGCCATTACAGAATAGCATGCAAATGTCCCATTTTGATAGGAACTGATTAATGTATGCATCGACAACTGTACTAGATATTTATCTATTACTTTTTTGATAAATTCGTCTACAGAGTAAAAGCTTTTGTTAAGTAACCATTTAGGTAATCAAATTTTAAATTTGTTTAATGTAAGTTCCTTTATATCCATAGGTATATTGTTAAAGATTTTAAAACACATCATTATAGGATTTTTTTAATAAACGGTTTGTTTTAGGAATTGTATTAGTCACTAGTTTTTGAGGGTATCTTGCGCTTCTTTCTATTATATCTTGTTTTGCGTTTTTAAAATTTAAAATAAGGCGATGTCTTCGATGAACAATATTAATTAAACAAAGATTCACAAAAGCGATTAATATGTCGGCGAAATGTGCCCATGTCGAGTGCTATATTGACAGTGGGTTGTAACACAATGAGATATCACAGTTGTAAGTGTATTATTATTATTATTTTTTATTACGAAATTAATCATCGTGCTTGTATGAGATCGCTTTTAGCGATAAGGCCGCCCCTTGTTTTTTCAGTGTGATTATTTCTTGTAATTGTTTGTATTTATAATAAATTTATTTTTGTAATATTTTGGAGGAAACAATATAGGGTATCTATATATCTATCTAAAATAAATATGGCATTGTGAAAATAACGTCTCACTAACTAAATTAGAATACTAGAGGGGGACTTTGTATAAAAGAGTCTACTTGGGTAGAGACCTATGTCCCATTTGAGTTACTGTCTTAAAGCAATTGTGTTTATATGGTTGTGTTTCGGTTTGAAGGATGGTGGCAATGAAATTACAGGGCACAGAGGCATAACACTTTAGTCCTCAGGAATGGCAACGCATGATACCTTATCATGAGCGACACTGTATACTCTGTTATGCCCACGGTATTGTGCGCGTCTGTACGTATTACTTTATAAGCCGGGTCATCAGTTTATTTATCACTCAAAGATGCATAAAAAACCAGATATAGCATCATATAACTATTACAGAAATCACAGTTTTAAATTTTTTAAATAGACATTCATTGCGTAAGTGAGACGTTATCCGCTTTGGCACTTCGACGGGATATCTTGTTGGTATTATAGATCAAAGGGCGACACATAAAAATATTATGACACCTTATATTATTTTGGGACTTTGGAGGTACATTTTGGGGCTACTTGTAAAGTTTGATGATCATCGAAAAAGTTGTGCAAAAATTATGATGCTGTGACATTATGTAGGCTCATGCATTGGGTAAACTACCAGACAAGGACAACTGTAGCCCATGTTTCCGTAGACAGATAAATTAATAAGCAAACAGAAAGGAATTTTACACGAATCATAGTTACGATTCATTTTGCATGCTCAAAAATTTTATGAATCCACAAGCTTTGACAAATCATTGCACGTGGATTCTGCAAGAATGGGACCATTTATAGATGGCGTAAGATTTTTAGTTAGACCTTCTGAAATACAAAAATAAAAACCACAACCAATTTAATGCAGTGGTTTTTGCGTAATGCCGAAACAAACACATAGATAGACAAAAATTCTAAAAGATATTGTTCGACTTCAGGGTACTTCTAATAAGATCTCCCAAATCAAATTTTCTGAAATATCTTCTACGAGCGTACATCGCTTAATGACAATTTTATTAGTGAGATTAATATTACTCATTCAATGTTAGATGCCAGTCAATTCAGTTTGGTATTTTAAACAAATCGTGTACTATTTCCAGAACACCATAATTAAAATTGACAGACATTTTATTGGTGTCAGCCAGATTTTATCTCTCGACGGCGGTCATTTTTGAGTAGAGCTATTATAATACATCAGTGATGCTTTTATCTCTTTCACACTCAATGTGGATTAACGATTTTCGGTTTGAAGAGTGGGGATATGGCGGTGAAATTACAGGGTACGGTAGATATAACACATTCATCATCATCATCATATTAGACTTTAACTATCCACTGCTGAACATAAGCCTTGGGGGGTTTTGCCAGTAGTTGCGACGCTTGGAACCCGGATTGGCAACCGCAGTCAGGCTTAAGAGATATTTTACGCTGCTGCCTATCCCTCGGCCCTCCCTTAGTCGGTTCTTACCACACTGACGGGAAAGGAAGGGATGGCGTTTTCTATGCCGAAACCACAAGGCCAATACACTTAACGGCCATAATACATTAGTCCTCAGGAATGACAATGGGTAAGGCGTACTGTGAGTTTTGCAATGGTTTTTGCGAAATCCATGGAACTGTTGATATCTATAGATGATTGTTACTATTTAGCATCAGGTGGGCCGTTAGCTTATTGGTCATTCTGGGTATTATTAAAAAAGAAAAACAATTAAGACACTTACCTAAATTGGAAATAGTCTGAGCCGTCGAAATAGCTGGGCTTCCAATCTTGTGGGTGCTATACAAATTTTGGACGATCTGATCCAATTTACTTAATCTATCCTTTTCCCTGATAAAGTCAGCATTATCATTGATTAAATTCGCTTCTCCAGCATCCTGTGGTGATGTAAGATCTTCATAGTTCAGTTTAGAGTTGCTATCAGAGTTTTCGTTGATGATAATGCTTTCGTTGGCAATGTTGGGGTACTGATTCAGTTCGCGTTTGTTTTCCAAGTTGATGGGGGAAGTTTCCTCGGTTGATTCGGTTTCAGTGGGGGTTAATGTCGAGTTCTGTAAATTGAGTAATAAATTTAATTATATTTTGATTCTTATTTAAGGTATTATTAGAGATGGCAATGATCCCAATATAACTTGGAATATAAAATCTGACGACTCTTTTAATAGTTTTAAGTAGAAAAAGAGTTTTTTTTTTTAGAATAGAGATTAATAACTCCAGAGTACATACCAGTTCAACTTCTGTTGGAATTTGTAGCTTGCTCCCATTTACTAAGAACCACGATTGGTCTTTTATTCTTCTTGATCCTCAGGTGGATTCCAGAATGTTTAACACGAAATATCTTTTTTTTTTATACAACTTAGAATGGCAAACAAGCTGACAGTCCATCGCCTATAGACATGAGCAGTACCACGGACATAACAGAGTATACTGTTTCGCCTATGATACCTCAGGTGTTATTCCTCTGTACCCAGTAAATTCACGCTATGCTATACTTTTTATGATGAATAGGAGTTTTTATGAAGGATTTTACAAGAAAATGGTGATTTTACTAGATAAAAATTATATTAATACCTAATAGGATTTGTCAGGCAATTTATACAAAAGTACTATTTATAATTATAATCATCATCATCATCATATCAACCTTTAACTGTCCACTGTTGAACATAAGCTTCTCCCTTGGGAGGTTTTGCCAGAAGTTACAATGCTTGGCAGGCGGATTGGCAACTGCGGTTAAACTTTAAAGACGTTCTAAGAGGGACGCTGCTGCTCATCCCTTGTCCTCCCTTAGTCGCCTTTTACGACACCCACGGGAAAGGGTGGCTTATTCTATCCCGGGACCACACGGTAAATGATTAAAATAAATACGTGTAATTAAACAAAATTGACTCTCACTGTATCGGCGTCGGTAAGTCCGGACACTTTCAGTGTCTGGGCAAGTCTTAACAGTGAAGGCAGGACTTTCTTTGATGCGGTAACTTCACCCGTGTACATAAAAGTGAGGAGTAGTCTCAATTCCGTCGCTTCGCACCCGAGGACCACTACCACTGTGTTATTTTCAGCTTCCAGTTCCTGAAAAAATGTATTTATAGCATAATAGTTTTTACTCGCTGCTTTGTCTGCGCAAAGGAGATATATTCAACGACTGGAATGAAAAGTGGTCTATGTCGTTTTCCATCCTATATAGAACAAATTTTATAGTTATTGGTTAAGCTACTAAGGTGCTAAGCGGTTATAAACAAACAAACTTATTTTCACAGTTCAGAGTAAAACTTTAAAAAATAGAGTTGCACCAAGCGGCAGTGTTATAGATATTAATTTTAATTTCTATCCATATTTCAAATATTTCTTTTTGCAAGTTTTCCTTTTCTTCCATTATTTTCTCTATGCAAACGATAAAAAATACTATCTGTACAGTGACTTCTTCATTTTATGTCACTGCTCATATGTTACCTTTATGGGTATATTCAGTAAATTTGTATATTATTTACAAATGTTAAAACTATAAAAGAAAATACCAAAATTTCTCTACATCCATTTTATTTTTCTCCATAATTTCTCTAATATAAACATTTTTAATAAAAATGTAGAAAAAAAAAAAAACACTAATCTGGCAACACTGCCAAGCGAGCGAATACTTATTCTCTCCCCTGGTGTTAGTTTAATTTTTAAACGACTGCTAGGACAATCTTCTATATTTTTTGCAAGGTCTATAACTTTTTGTAAAGACAACAACACGGGCGTGCCTCTATTAGTAGAATCCCATTGATTGTTTAAAATATAGATTTAGTAAAGTAAGATAATGTTGCCATTTGACAATATATGTGTGTAATCGTTTTTTTTAAGGGGTGATAATTGAATGGTAACTCCGCCTGCGGTAACGGTATACATTTGCGGTGCACCAGTGAGGGATGATAAAAAAACAGTTCATCCATCGTGATGAATTTGAACACTTTGATTTTGACACGGTGGTTTCCAGGAGGGACTATGTGGAGGTCGACCTTACAGTATATATTGCTAGTAATAAAACTGGTAGTTCGCTTTACTAACAATCCCCCAGCGTGTGATCTTTGATGCTGTAGAAATTCACAGATTGCAGTCGCAGTTTATTATCAGGTGAATCTTAGTGTCTTAGTAGTTATGATAAGGAGATTCATTTATATATTTAGGATCATCTGCATAACATACACCGAAATATTTCGATACAATACACTAGTGGGTTACGGCTAACTGTTCTTACATTTAGAGGCAACCACAGCATGCTTTGTGTTTAAAAAATATTAAAATAGAATTAAATTATTAAACTATTAAATGGCATCAAATTAATATAAAAAAACCATTTATGATTTTATATATATATTATAGAATATTCCGTGGCATCCATAATATTTTATGTCATATATGCAAATATAGGTATTCCAAATTTTACATAGAATATATTAAACTGTTTAAGCTGTAAAATGCTTCGGTGTAACTTCAGCTCTGGGGTAAGTTCAGAATATTCGAGATATCGATGCGAACTTATCCTAAAGTACCACTTACCTTGAATAATTGAGCAAAATATTGGCTACAAGATGCCAACACCAATCTGTGAGCTTTCAATGAAGTCCCACTCGCGTTTAGGGTGACGTCAGTCAGGGATCCGGTACTCAGCATGCGGCCTAGGGCTCCGATGACGCTGTTCTGTTAAAAAAACTAAATTAATATCTAATTAAAAGCCATTTAGGATACATTAAATTTGTTATATGACTGAAAACTGATTTCTCCATAAAAATATTGAAATAAGACAAAGTTTTTTAACAAATACATTTTTCGAAATTTTACCAAGTGGCGACAGCATGAGGTTCTTCAAAAAAGGGTAAAGAGGTTTATTTAGGGTTAGCAAAGGGTGCATAATATCCCTAATATTGCAAGCAAGATATATTTATTCAATAATATTAAATATTCTCAGACACTTGTTTTAAGAAGAATTTGGCATTTTATAACATTGCTGTCAGGTAGACCTCCAAATGGTTCCCTCTGGAAATCATCCATGATGTTTAATTATTATTGAATTTGTCACGATGGGATAACTGATCTGCTTTTATGGGGGGAGGGAGGGGAAGGGATTATTAGTTATAGGGTCTAACAGTTCCATTGCTAACAAAATACCCTATCAGACCTCCATGCGGTTCTCCCTGAAAATCATCATGGCTAATTCTTGTCGAATTAGCCACCATGGGGTAACTGACCTGCTTTTATCCTCAGCTATCATCTCTCATTGGTATCAGGCCGACGTACACCGATAGTGCAGGTAAGTTAAAATTACATTTTCACAAATACAACAGACATTTTCACAATAGGTATGTATGTATTCGTAGCATAGGATTTTAAAAAACAGTTCTTTTTTTGATAAATAAACTCAATATTGTTTTTTAGTCATATAACAAAGTTATAATATCCTAAATGATTTAGAAATGACCTAAAAATTTAAATAAAAATTAGTCATACAATTAGGTAAAATAAAATAGTTGTTAAGTGTGCTTTGTGCGGTAACATTAGATACGTGTGGATGAAAAAAAATAAGCAAATAAAATTACAGCGAAAGCATACATTACTTTATATATATATATATATATATATCATTTAATTACCATTTTATTATATATATATATAAGACATACATATATATATATATATATATATATATATATATATATATATATATATATATATATATATATATATACAAGTTTATTAAATTCATCATCATTGTTTGTTAACTCTCAATGCCTTAACTAATTCAATCACTATGAATTATTACTCCTCTCCATCCAATGGTTGCCTGAAAGAGATCGCTCTTAGCGATAAGGCCACCCATTGTTTTCTTAGTGTAATATTTTTTTGTAATTGTTTGTATTTATTAATAAGTTTGCTATTGTAATCTTATGGAGGAAACAATAAAGGGCATCTATCTATCTTTTTTTTTATAGAACTTAGAATGGCAAACAAGCTGATGGAAAGTGGTAACCGTCGCCTATAGACATGAGCAGTACCATAGACATAACAGAGTATACTGTTTCGCCCATGATACCCCCCATGCGTTGCCATTCCTGAGGAGTCAGATATTATTCCTCTGTACCCAGTAAATTCACGCTATATCCCACCCTTCAAACCGAAACACAGCCATGCAAACACAGCTGCTTCACGGTTGAAACACGAATGGGACCCAAGCAATCGACTTTAATACGAAGTCTCCCTCTGGTATCTATCTATGAAATTTGGTAAATATGTAATTATTTGGAACAAAGAAAGAGATAGACTATTTTTTTACCTCGACCAGTGAACATATTCCGGTCTCGTAAACGAAGTCGGTGGTAAAAGTTAATTACGTTGTAAAGAAAACTAACTAAATACCTTATTATACTTAACAAGCTTTTTGCTTGACTGGCTTTTTTGTGTATTTCAGTAGGAAAACTAATGAAATAGAGCTCTTTTAGATGGTGGTTAAGCTAAAACATACACTAAATTTTAAGTTAAACCTTCTGGAATATAATAGTGATCCCTCATTTAAATTTTTCTTAAGTACCCTCCATATACAAATGTCGTTTAGTTACAGTATTATTATATTTATAAGATTACATAAAAAATACAAATTTAAATCATCTTTATTCAAAAAGACTTGTTTACAAGTGCTTCTAAATCGTTATTTTTTTTAAATCTACTGCAGTGTTCAGAAAGTGGTTATCTGTTGAGAAGAGCCCACAAGAAACTCAACAGTTACTCTTTTGAATCTCTGTTAACATTATATGTATTTATTTAAATGTATTATGTCTAAAATTATACGGACATTAAAAGCCCGTGCATGATCGACTTGCACCATGCACGTTTGTCATTCAAGTAATCCTTTAGAGTTTTTTTTTTTACAACACACGAGCATGCGGCTCACCTGATGGTAAGTGACTACCGCCGCCCATGGTCACCCACAACAAAACAAAGTGGTTGGGCGTGGGAGAAAGTGCGTTGAAAAACGCACGGTGGAGGACCGCCACTCGTCCAGATGGTTGGGGTGAAATTTTCCTTTAGAGTGTAATAGGCTTTGTACAATAAGTGTTTTTAATAACAGTTTTAAATTTATTAAAAGGTAGATCCAAAATATCCTTCAGAATTTTATTTTTTAATGTACATTCCTATAGAAGATCTATTAACTTTTTCTAAATGACATTTCGTAAAAGTAATAAACGAATATAAAATTTATTTTATATACTGATTTGTAATAATAATGTATCGTATCACATTCCAATTATCCGCATGTGTAGTAAATGTGAACAATGTATGCAAGAAGCTTAATATCTTCCAACAATCTTTGCAATGTTCTATTAAAACTGTCAATTTATTGATTTAAATTTATAGTCGCTATTCTTCTAATATTTATAATAGTAAATGTCACGCAGAGTAGGTGTTGAAGTAGTTAAGTCAATCATTTATTTGCACAAACGTTGGTTACGTAAATTACATGATATTATATTATAAAAACAATTAAGATCGCTATGTTCATACAATTATCATACAAATATTATAAAACCCTTCACCAAAACTATTAAAAATCAATACTAATCGTCAATTTAAGAAACATAAATCTAATTATTATGTATTGTTAAAATTATGCACTGCAAGAATTAACGCCACAGTCATGAAAAGTACAAGTTTGATGCTGTGTTATGTAGTATTTATCTTATTAATGTATTGATTTGTATTCTATTACTTTGCTATAAATAAATATTCATGAACATTTTTGTTTTACTTCTACAAATAGATTGTACAACCACGAATTGGACAGTACGAATTTTCTACAGTCTCCTTCTAGGTAAAACCATCAGATGTAATTCCTAATATAGTCCAACGATCCTTTGTAAATAATAAATGATGAGCTAAGTCTGCCGTTGTCTCATGGAATAATTAATTCATTTTTCAATTTCGAAATTTAAATTGTGAAATGATTTTTTTTTAATATTTAGAATGGCGATGGATGACGGCCTGCTTGATGGATAGCGGTCACTGTCGTCCATAGACATGAAGAGCCATAAACATTACAGAATACACAGTGACATATCTTCGATGCGTTACCATTTTTAAAAACTATGGTAATTTGCATGCATATCCTGTAATTGCTTTGCCATATCTCACCCTTCAAGGCGAAACAACCATGCAAATACAGTTGTGTCACAGAAGAGACAAGGGTGGGAATTGTGAAATAGAAATACTACATTTGTCGAATGGTACCGTGTGGTCCCTGCATAGAATAGGCCATCTCTTCCTTTCTCGTGGGTCTCGTAAGAGGCGACTAAGGAAAGGCGAGGGATGGACAGTTCCTCTTAAAATATTTCCAAAGCCTAACTGCAGTTGTCAATTCGCCTGCCAAGCGTGGCAACTACTGGCAAAATCCCCTAAGGGTGATGACAATAATGATGATGGTGACATGTGTATGCGATTATATGTTTTTATAAATTTAGATTAAAGAGAAAATCCCATTTTGGCACTAATAATAATTATTGTTCGTAATTACAATTTCTGCGGCTCTTCGAGTTCTATGTTTAGTACATGTCATTCAACCCAGAATGAATTCAGTTTGCTTATGTTTTTTTACTTAATTTATATATATATATAATTTATATATATATATCGATTTCATTTGATTTTATAGGCATCATTTATTGAAATAGAAGCGTTTCAAATTAGGTAGGCCTTATTTATATTATGTACTTTATATATAAAAATAAGATAGTAATATTACTATGACAGCTTATATTATATAGAGTGTCTCCATACAAATGCTTCGAGAAAAACGAGTTAACTTTTTCATACAATGTTGCATGGTAAATAGTTATGAATGATAGCTTTACCTTTATAACTTCTGTATTTATTTTGTTTTATAATTTTTGTATCTTTTTAATGCGTAAACATTCACTAATTTTTATTTATTAAATAATTAAATATAGATACGTCAAGATATATTATGTGCGTAAGTATATAGAACATTGATAGAAAAAAACGAGTTAGCTAAATCGACAATTAGCTGACAAAAAGTTGACCCGTTTTTGAAGCTCGATGCTCTATCTATATAATATAAGTATGATAGATTATGATTATTATTTATTATAATTATGAGATTTGCTTAGCCATAAGACCGCCTTTTGTATTGTTCAGCAAAACCTGTAATGTTAGTGCAATAAAGTGTTATATAAATAAATATATGTACATTACAGAGAAAACTCCATATTGGCACTATTATGGCAAATGTACTTTGTAATTGTCCGACTGTTAGCATTTTAGAAATCTTGGCACGGTCATGACAGCCAACTCGGACTATGACGTGACAATTAAACACAGTGTTAGTTTTTTTTTTATAAACGAACGAACGCCAAGAATGTTATAAAAAGGCGAATGTTAATTTACGTACGTTTTTGACAGCTTATGACTGTCATATCAATTTTATTTCAAAAGCACTTTTATCACGATGCCAACAACTGACAGTTTTTTTGGACGTTTTCTCATATTGACCTTCTATCAAATTAAAATTTAAATCATTTTTATTCAAATGGACTAAAAAAAAATGACGATTTAAAACTGCTTGTAACAGTTTTAAATCGTCATTTTTTTTAAGCTACTGCAGGATTTGGAAGGTTTTTATCTAGATGTAATATAATCTAAGATATATAGATACATATAGCCAATAAATATGATTGTAATTATGTTGGTAGAAAAATTCCATATTGGCACTACTATGCTTGGGTAATGCGGATACCGATCCAATTTTTTTTTTTTTATACCACTGTGGTGGCAAACAAGCATACGGCCCACCTGATGGTAAGCGGTTACCGTAGCCTATGAACGCCTGCAATACCAGAGGTATTACGCGCGCGTTGCCGACCCTGAAGAAACCTCTTTACCCCCTTTTGAAGAACCCCATGCTGTAGTCTCTCGGGAAAACCTCGGCAGGGACCTGTCCAAAAAACCCAATATCTATATATTGGGTTTTTTGGACATTGATGGCGAAAAAAAGGTCATCACTCATTTCGATATCGCCCATAACGATATCTGTTTTCGAATAAGTTAAAAGTCTGTTATCCAATATTATTTTTTGCATAGCGGTAGAACCATGAACATAACAGAATATACTGCTATTCGCCCATAACAGATACTGTTTCGCCCCCCCATGCGTTGCCATTCCTGAGGACTCAGGTCTTATTCCTCTGTACCCTGTAAATTCACGCCATATACCACCCTACAAACCGAAACACAGCCATGCAAACACAACTGCTTCACGGTAGAAACAAGAATGGGACAGAGGAACCCAAGCAATCGACTTTTGTACAAAGTCTCTCTCTGGACATTATTGGACCACTACATAGATACTATAACTAAGTTATATATAGATATAGATATAGCCATATGTTTCCCACCGCTGGGCTCTACTATTCAAATGAAACTGTTCATAGTTATTGGAATCATCTATTTATGATCTTTACTACTACTAAATATTTACGTTGCATTCTCTCTTTACGCTGTTATACGAGAACGACCTCTATGGTACTTTGGCACATGGCCGCCGACCCAGACTGTAGACATGACATATAAATATTAATTAACCTGATTATACTGTGGTCAAGCGCCAATTTTTATTTATTTTTATTATAATATCACGCCTTTCCTTTATGGGGTCAGCAGAGAAATCAAATGACAATGTTTTAATTGATTTTTATAGAAATTACTTTGACAAACATGCTGATGGCTCACCGAATGAAGAATAATAACCGATATCACAGTATATCCTGTGACGCCCACGGTACCTTTCATGTGTTGTCATTTTATCTGCATGATAGGAACATTGTAAAATCTAAGGGGCATTGATCGTCTAGGACAAAAGTAACCCGTTTACCTGTGTATCTCAAATAACAGGTGCATACAAAATTTCATAGTGTTAAGAAGAGCTACTATTTGTTATATTATATTAATTTTTATATAGAATTTATTAAGAAAAACACATTAGTAAACTATGTAATATTAATCACACAATATAAAAATAAATAAAAAATAGAAAGGTACCTCTAATTTTATGCCTCATATTAATTTATTCTTTAATTATTTCCCATAAATGTTAATATTTGGGCACTAGGTGTGATTGTATGGCACTTTTTATATAAATATAAAAAATAAACTGTTTAAAAATAATGCTATATATGTATTAGTACATAATGTATACTATAATACCTACCTACCTAAGTAAACTAGATATAGGAAATATATATATATATTTATACCATAAACTAAGTATTACGTTTCATATATACTTATTTAAATATGTAATTTTTATTTATATTATATACGACTATTTAAATATATATATCATTAAATATACCTATTTCGTGTTAATATAATTCATAATAATTAAAATAGAAATAAAATATTTCTAAGTCTTTAATTTTTAACAATAAATATATCAAAGCGTATTTATTTATTTGAACAACTCAGAGAAGCCATTTATAAATAATAGATGAAAATATTGAGTTAGGATCTTCCTTATTAAACCTTTATAAATATCTTATCCCTTAAATTACCCTCTTCTAGGAATCGAGTGGGAGAAAAGGTTCGCCCTCAATTTTAGTGGCTTGTTATTGCATTTTGGGTTATAAACTGTATAAAAAGAAGCTTATAAGCGAAGCGTTTATTGTGGCAAACAAGATTACAGCTTAATAACACTTTTAAAAAGATATTACTAAAAAAATAAAATAAGCTATGGTCTAGATTTTTTTTTAAATCTAAGGTAAGTTACACATTGTATTATTTTCATCTGTGTACCTGTGCTCGTAGTGTGTGTCGCATGTCGATAAAAAATATAAAATTACTTACCTACCTGATGATTATGCCAGCGCAAAGAAAACTGTTGCATATCGTCATCATCCATAGCGTCACAATAAAAAAAAAAACAACAAATATGTGGGAATGAAAATAAGATAATGGCGAAGCGAAAGCGGTGTCACTCACTATTGAACGTAGCACGAACGATGGGCTCGAGACAATAATATTGTTAACCGAATCCAGGCTACTTTATTTTCGTCTGTACGCCTGGAAAACCTGTAGCCACCTATTTCTGGAGCTGAAACGTATTTATAAATCGAATGACATTCAGTCAGTGACGCGACTCACATACCAAAACTCATCCAAAAACAGATTTAGTTCGATGATTGGCATCATTGTTCGAGTGTTTGCACTAATTGTCGAGCCTAGAGTATAAAACGGGTTTTCAATAGCTCAAATATTAATTTTTGATCAATGAACTCCCGATTGAATGGGTAAAAATGGTGTCTATATAACAGAAACCTACAGATTACGTATTATTTGAATGCGTCATTGCGGTTAAAAATATTCTCTATATGAGTATGTAAAATAATAGATACTGGTATTAAATAGCTGGTTATGGAAATAGTTGATTCGAATATTTAAAATAATTAAACTTATTTCATCATACGAGAAATTTCTATTTAAACATTTTATTTAGGATTAAATAATTATGTAATTATGTAAGTATTAGTAGTTTCCCGCGAAAATTATATTAAAAATTTTGTTCCTAAGCTCTACCTTTTTTATAGTTGGGTAGATAAAGTTAGCTGTAATTTTGATTTGTTTAATTAAACTATAATTAAAAAGCTAGGCCATATTTTTTTGATAATAATAAAACTTATATGTATAATTAGGCATAAATATTTGATATAGTAATTAAGTGATGTATTTCGCTTTGCTTTGTTTTTTTTTTAAACTACGAAAATATAAAAGATTAAAGACCACTTGTCAATTTTCGTGTCTGTCGACAGCTACAGTCGACAGTAGGTTAATATTGTTTCACTGATATTTTATTTGGAAGGTTGACAAAATTTAATTCGTGTTTTTCAATATAACAGGTAAGTATTGGCATGAATATTTACATATCAATATCTTTCTTTTTATTTATTTGCTTTCGTATTTACTGTTATTTGCGTTGCGGTTATTATGATATGACTTCTCAGCAGGGTACATTTATGGCTGTATGTAATTGTGTCCTAGATTAGTTACGAAATTCTGTTAATGATTTAAATAAAAGTATTGACACAAATTGGCGGGTAAAATAAAAGAAAAATAAATTCTATAATACACTCACTTCAAACATGAAAGCGTTTGATAAAATCTATGTAACCAGGTAATTGAATTTGCACATTTTTCAATATAAAGTTGTTACATCCACTATGATACCAATCAATATCAATATTTTTACAATAGGTATATTCTCAATAATTGTAAAAAGTTATGCATATAATTTATGTTTTTGTTGATATTTCTAGGTGGATGCATAGATTTATTTTCCAGTTTCGTCTAATATAAAGGCAGTGTCGACTTTAAAGTCATAAATAGTTCTTGTTCCCATATTTAAGGTATTACTTTATTTTTATCTAAAAAATGGATTCACAAATTGATAATTGTGAAAAATTATATGATCCAGAGACTTTCGACAAATTTAAAGCTGCAATTGAAAATCATCTATCCGATATGAAGAAAATGGCTGATAGAATCAATCAAATGAGAGGTAGTTACTTAAACTTGTTTTTTCGCCTGAATGTTACAATAATTTAATTAAAAGTTATAATGACTGTATACTGTATGTATAAAGTTGTATAAAAAAAAAACATTTATTTCTAAAATATTGCCATAATTATAAGAGTTGTCTTGAAAGGGTAGGTAAATTTTTATACATTACATATTAAGTAAAACTTTAATAAAACTAGCTTTTACTCGCGATTTTATTTCCGTTATCATGTTGATTGGTCGGCATAAATAGTAGTCTATGTATTTTCTATTCCAAAAACCATAAATTATATATGCTAAAATTAAGTTAGCTTGTTGTACATTTAGTTGATATTTTTTTTTATGAAAACAAAACACGTTTTTTTTGGTTATGAATGTTCCCAGTTTATTTATCTATCCTATTTAAGAGCTGCGCTCTTGTCGGTGGAGCTCTTGCCACTCACTGCAATTTTCAGCGAGTCTCTTCACCTCTTGATACGACACGATGCCAACTCCTTCCTTGATCTGCCTGATGTAACTATGTCTCGGTCTCCCTCTTTCCCTCCTTCCTTCTATCTTATCTTCTATTATAATGTTCATAAGTTCGTCGTGTCGTATCAAGTGTCCCAACATTCTTCCCCTTCTGTCCTCAATAGTTCTAATAATTTGTCTTTTTTCCTTAACCCTAGGCAGGACCTCCTCATTGCTAATTCGATCCCTCCATTATCCCAGTAATTGGATTAAAACTTTCCAGATCGGTCATTTTTTAAATTGGAATTGAGAACAATTTTTTATATATGTACGTTTTTTTACATACACATGTAAATATTGCTTACAAATTAATACTCATCATTGTCATCATTTCAACCGTTATCCGTCCACTGCTGGATATGGGCGTCCCCCATAAATTGCCGTAAGAAACTGATCTGAGCCACTTGTATCCAGTGAATCCCTGCAATGCATTTTCCAGGAGGGGAAAGGGATTGTTAGTAATGGAGACTGAGATTCCCATTGCTAGCAATATACCCAATCAGGTCGACCTCCTCGAGGTTCCCCCTGGAAACTATCGTGGTTAATTCCTGATGAATTCATCATGATGGGCTAACTGGCCTGTTTTCATTCTCATCTATCACCCTTCACTGGTGCTCCGCCAGCGTATCCCGTTAGCGCAGGCGGGGTTACCATTCCATTTTCACTCATCAAAAAGAAAATGCATTTTCCAATAATAATAATAATAATATGTCCTAACATTACACAAGTAGATCGTATTGCAATATTAAAATATTGCCTACAGCAATAAATTTCCCGTCTCCACACCCTAAAACGGAACTCTAGAACAGGAATGAACAATAATCGTTCAATGAGTGCTTCCTTCAAGCATACCACTACGCTTGAATGAAGCAACAGGTGTGATCTCTCTGACTAGGTATAAGACTCCTTGACTTATCTTGAAACTGCTTTTTTATTTATAATATCATATTATAGTAACGATAATTTATCGTATTGTATCCACTGCTAAATAAAGGCTTCCCCCATAAGGGTGGGGGACCAGTAGTTGCCACACTTGGTAACCGTAGTTAGGCACGGTTTAAAGTCACCAAATCGTGAAAATAATAATTAAAATAAATATAAAATAAAAAGAGCAATATTTTTGGTGACTGTGCAGTGTGTGTATAATAAAAATAATGTAAATTGTTCGGTTGCTGAGTGGTAAGGATAAACACAATAGCAATTAAAAATCCTCCTATGGGGAATGCCTATGGTTAGCAGTGGATAATTTAGGGATGATAAAAAAAAAAATTAAAAAGATGTTTGGATATTTGTATGTGTGTTATTCAATTACGCTTAAACGGTTGAATAGATTTGAATGAATTTTGGTATACTGGTACTTATCAACGCTAACAAAACATACGTCTTTACTACATACTTTATATCTGATATACACGGTAAAGTCGCGGGAAACAACTAGTGAACAATACAAATTCAATGAGAATTACTGGAAAGCGTACTTAAGCGCAACAGGTGTGATCTCGCCGCCTGTTTACTACTCGTGGACTCGTTTTGTCACTGCCTGTTATCTATGTTGGCCATGTTTCTTCGCTATTCTGATACGACATAATATTATGGGGAATTTCCGTAGAAATAGAAAAAGTATTCAAGACAAAATCATGAATAAGAGCGCTTTGTGGAGTATATATATATATATAGGGGAAAAGGGATTGTTAGTAATGGGGTCTAACTGACCCATTGCAAGTAATACACCCTATCAGGTCGACTTCCATGCGGTTTCTCCTGGAAACCATCGTGGTTATTTCTAGTGAAATTCGTCACAATGGGCTAACTGACCTACTTTCATCCTCACCTATTATCCCTTACTGGTGCCCCGCCGGCGTACACAGATGACGGGGACGGGGTTACCATTCCATTAATGAAATAGGAATAGTTACGTACGCAGAACGTATGTAGCTATTATGTACGTTAGCAGAACGTCAAACTAAGATATCTAGCAATGGTATAGAACAAAAATTTCATGAATGAAAAAGTCAAAAACGACGAAAGATTTTGCGTCTCACATAATACCTAACACTACCTTTTTTTTTTTAATGAATGATAATGGAATAGTCACTCCGTCTGCGCTAATGGTATACACTGACTGGACACCAGTGAGGGATGATAGGTGAGTAGTGGTAACTTTACTTACCAGAGGGAGACTTTGCACAAAAGTCGATTGCTTGGGTTCCTCTGTTCCATTCGTGTTTCTACTGTGAAGCAGTTGTGTTTGCATAGTTGTGTTTCGGTTTGAAGGGTGGGATATGGCGCGAATTTACAGGGTACAAAGGAATAACATCTGAGTCCTCAGGAATGACAACGCATGCGGGGTATCATGGGCGAAACAGTTTACTCTGTTATGTCCATGGTACTGCTCATGTTTATAGCGACGGTTACCATTTTCTATCATGTGAGCTGTGAGCTTGTTTGCCATTCTAAGTTGTATAAAAAAAAACATGAGCAATACCATGGACATAACAGAGTATACCGTTTCGCCCATGATACCCCCCACGCATTGCCATTCCTGAGGACTCAGGTGTTATTCCTCTGTACCCTGTAAATACACAAATAAACAATTTACACATTTATAATATTAGTAAAGATTTACTTGTTACAGTCGAGGCAGCCTATTTGGAATCGGATCTGTTAATGATGATAGATTCCTCTACATGGCAGAATATAAGCGAGTTTATTGGATTGAATCCCATTAAGAAGATTGTTATGAAAGAAGAATCCGATGCGACAAATAAATAGTTTATGAAGTGTAGACAAGTTTTATTTAGGAAAATGTTCAAATGCGAATAAAGTTAACAATACCTAGTAGATATCTTTTGTCATTACTATATTTCTAATGAAATCGATTTTTTTTAAATGTATGATCTTAGAATGGTAACCCTGTCTACGCTATCGGTATATGCTGATAGGACACCAGTGAGAGATGATAGGTGAGAATAAAAACAGGTTAGTTGGCTCACCGTGACGAATTCATGGTTTCATCACGATGGTTTTCAGGAGTAACCGTGTTGAGGCCAAATTGAGATATTGTTAGTCATGT